CCTAAACCCTAAACCCTAAACCCTAAACCCTAAAACCCTAAACCCTAAACCCTAAACCCTAAACCCTAAACCCTAAACCCTAAACCCTAAACCCTAAACCCTAAACCCTAAACCCTAAACCCTAAACCCTAAACCCTAAACCCTAAACCCTAAACCCTAAACCCTAAACCCTAAACCCTAAACCCTAAAACCCTAAACCCTAAACCCTAAACCCTAAACCCTAAACCCTAAACCCTAAACCCTAAACCCTAAACCCTAAACCCTAAACCCTAAACCCTAAACCCTAAACCCTAAACCCTAAACCCTAAACCCTAAACCCTAAACCCTAAACCCTAAACCCTAAACCCTAAACCCTAAACCCTAAACCCTAAACCCTAAACCCTAAACCCTAAACCCTAAACCCTAAAACCCTAAACCCAAAACCCTAAACCCTAAACCCTAAACCCTAAACCCTAAACCCTAAACCCTAAACCCTAAACCCTAAACCCTAAACCCTAAACCCTAAACCCTAAACCCTAAACCCCAACCCCCCTAAGTGGGAGAGTTGCCACCGGATCCCATAAGAACTCCGGAGTTAAGCGTGCTCGGGTGGGAGCAGTCACCGGATGGGTGACCTCCCTGGGAAGTCCCAAGCTACGTGTGCAAGCGTTGCGAGACGCTTGCTCTGCATGTGCTGAAAGGCGCCGCTGCATTATCGTGCCACCAAGCACGTGTTACGAACCCCTCCAACACCATGCCAAGATGCCTCAAGTTTCGAAGAACGTGTCGAGAGACACCCCTGCCACCATGCCGAGAGGCATATGTGGCAACCATCTCACTATGTCAAGACGCCCCCAACTCCGAAGAATGTGCCGAGAGGCACCCCTGCCACCATGTCGAGAGGCATATGTGGCATCCATTTCATCATGCCAAGACGCCCCAGCTCCGAACAATGTGCCGAGAGGCACCCCTGCCACCATGCCGAGAGGCATATGTGGCATCTATCTCCGAAGAATGTGCCTGAGAGGCACCAAAGTGCTTGGGGATGTGAAGTACCGGGATGGGTGACCTCCCGAGAAGTTCGGCCCAAGACAGTTATCAACCAAAAAAACCCTAAACCCTAAACCCTAAACCCTAAACCAACCCCCCTAAGTGGGAGAGTTGCCACCGGATCCCATAAGAACTCCGGAGTTAAGCGTGCTCGGGTGGGAGCAGTCACCGGATGGGTGACCTCCCTGGGAAGTCCCAAGGTACGTGTGCATGCGTTGCGAGACGCTTGCTCTGCATGTGCTGAAAGGCGCCGCTGCATTATCGTGCCACCAGGCACGTGTTACGAACCCCTCCAACACCATGCTAGCTTCAAGTTTTGAAGAACGTGCCGAGAGACACCCCTACCACCATGCCGAGAGGCATATGTGGCAACCATCTCATCATGCCAAGATGCCCCCAGCTCCGAAGAACGTGCCGAGAGGCACCCCTGCCACCATGCTGAGAGGCATATGTGGCATCCATCTCATCATGCCAAGACGCCCCAACTCCGAACAACGTGCCGAGAGGCACCCCCTACCACTATGCCGAGAGGCATATGTGGCATCTGTCTCACCATGCCAAGACGCCCCAAGCTCCAAAGAATGTGCCTGAGAGGCACCAAAGTGCTTGGGCATATGAAGTACAGGGATGGGTGACCTCCCGAGAAGTTCGGCCCAAGACAGTTATCCCAAAAAAAAAAAAAAAAAAAAAACCCTAAACCCTAAACCCCTGCCTCCTAAAAAAACCCACCGCATTTGCTCAACTTTTTTCTCTCTCCTCGCGAGAGCTTCTCTCTCCTCACGATCAGCGCAAATGGTGAGATCTCCTTCGTGTGACCTCAGATCGCGCTGAAACCTTTTCCATTCGATTCGGAAGGCCGACAACTATCGGTTTCGAGCTATTACACATCGAAAACGTGGATTAAAGCCTTTGTTTCGCAATTACCTCATCGCGAAGGTAAACTTCCGGAGTTTTCACTTCAAAGGTAATATCTTTCTATTGACTGGGTGAAATTTCATTATTTTTAGTTCAATAGAATCGTATTTGCCTCGTTTACCATTTTCTCTTCTATATCATTTTTATTTGATGCTTAGCTGATGAGTAGCTCACAGATTTCATCGGGTGACCTCCGTCGCCCAAATGAAAACTCGCCCGACGAATGCGAGCGAACAGAAGGCCGACACGTAGCAGTAACGGCCTCCTCTCCTCGCCTTCTCTCTCCACCGGTTGATGTGACCGAGGAGACGGCCGTAAATGAGCTGAACGGTCGAACCACGGACGTCCGTGATTCGCCATCAGCTAGCGTCTTCCCGAGGCCCGAATCGGAGGGGACAGCAGTTGACGCCGTCCACTCTCCTTCCGGGAACGAGGCGACGGCAGGCGAAGAGGCCCCCTCTGATCCAACCATTGATCGTATGATCAATGGTCAGAATCAGCCGGCTATAAAGGCCTCAACAGCCGTTACCGAGGCACCGCCCTCGGACGGTCACGGCCATAACGGCCAACTTGATCCACCCGTTGATCTTGAGATCAACGGAGGGGATCACGTGGCCGTAAAGGCGCCGCAACCTTTTGCGATCGCCGATGCCTCGGCTGGGACGCTACTGACGCCATCAACGTCAGACACCGCGGACGATGGCATCGCACGGAACCCTGCGCCATCACGTGCCGAGCCCCGCTCAGCTGGCACCGTACAGGCGCGGCCCGTGCGAGCTTCCGGCAAGGTGGCTAGAGCTGAGCCGGCCCAGGTAGCGCCATCTGAGGCCGCTTTAGCCCAGGCCATGCCGGCCCAGCCCATCGAGGCTGCGCCGGCTCAGGACGCACCGGCCCAGGCCCAGGTGGCCCAGGCCCAGGTGGCCCAGGCCGAGCCTGAGCAGCCGGCTCAGGCTGCACTGGTCCAAGCTCTTGCCCAGGTAAGGGGCAAGAGCCTGCGGCCCAAAAAGAAGATAGGACGCCGACTTTTACGTCCACCCTCGGCCACGTCCTCTAGGCCTACCCTGAGTCAACAGATTGAGCCGATTTTACCTCTACCTATAGGGGCCCTTAGGCTCTCTCAGACTGAGCCCCTCGAACCAACTAGGATCCCAGCACTAGTTGAGACCTCTGTATTGGCCCCAAACACATCCCTTGGGCACACCATATCTACACCTAGTGGGCTAGACTCTATTGTGCCCCATAGGCCAAACCCGACTATACCCATTGGACACCTATCATGGGCGCAACGAGTGTCTGGACCCTCTGTCCCCTCCACAGAGACTGTCACACCACAGGTACCGTTGCGTCAAGTACTATTCCCATTCTATGATACCACTGTCCCAGTGCGAAGCTATAGCGAAGATGATGGGAGGAGGACAATAGCTTTTACTTATGAGGAGGTCTCCCAGATGGCAGCCGCATTCCAATATACCTTAGTTGGTCGTTTCACTACGAAACGACCAACCATAGGTGACATAGAAAAGATTTACTTGGCACCTGGAAATTTCCAAGGTCGAGTCTCCATCGGAGCTCGAGACTATCGTAGCATATACATCCGCTTTGAGCTAGAAGCGGATTATCGTCGAGCATGGAGCCGACCCACCTGGACAATGGGGGAGTCTACCCTCTATACCCACAGATGGACACCACAGACCGACATAGGGCACCGAGCACATCAGTCCCATGCGGTTCCATTATGGGTGGGCTTCCCTGGCCTACCTGCCCATTTTTTTACGCCAAAGACACTTGAGTCTTTGGCAAATGCGGTGGGAACATTCATATGCCTTGACCCAGGCATAAAAATGTTCAACCGGCCAGGATACACACAAGTTTGTATAGAGGTGGACCTAATGGCCCCTCTACAGAGGACTCTCGTTATACGTAGTGGAGATGATGAGCTTTATCAGCCTATCATTTACGAGAGATTACCATATTTCTGCACACATTGTGCTATCTTGGGCCACACTGTCAGCACATGCCGTCAGAAGGCAGGTACACCACAGGCGACCACACGAGCCTTTTTAGTACTGATCTCATATGACGACTATCTCGTCGAAATGAGAAAGGATGCTCAGAGTGCTCGTCATCCTCAGAGGTCGATTGCCCCTATGGCGGCTCCACCTTCCTTACCTCGGAAGGCACAGGAGAAGCCTAGTTCATTGATTGAGACACAGCATGCACGGCGAAAGCCGGCAGCTGGACGCCCTTCTTCCATCCACACAGGGGGGAAGAAAGGAACACGAGAGGCTACACCTTCCCCTTTGGGCAAGGGAAAGAAACCCCTAATCTCAAACACCTTTGAGGTCTTAGAGGCTTTAGATGAGAGAGACTTTGAGGGACTTGCACAGAGGGGAACTAGGCCTTCCAAAGGGCTAGCATCCCCCACTACGAGGGACTCACCTAGTCAAACCCCACATACTAGATCCCCCCGGGCTATCCGACCCCCCATACTCACCCACCCCACTCCACCCATTAGTGTCTCTCCACCACCCAGCTCCTCCCCGCCCATTCACTCTTCCCCACGTAGCAGGAGTCCTTCACCTCTTAGTCCCCACCGATCGAGGTCTACCCCTTTCTCCGAGGGTATAGGCTTGGGCACTACTCATCCCCCTCAAATCCCCATCAAGGATCTACTAGGAGAGCCTACCCCCAGCATACTTCCTATTAGTACATCTTATGTAGCCCCTTGTTTTGATTCTTATACCCTCCCCCCCTCTCCCCCACTACACCCGCCAGATCAGTTTCCTATACTTGATCCACCACCCGTTGATTCTAGGGAGAGCACCGATAGAGGACAGTGCTTGACGAATCGTCAAGCACCGCACCCATCCTCCTCATCTAGTGCTCATGATACTAGTGGCCACATGACTAGTACCCATGAGGATGGTGGATCTGAGACTCATATTGAGACTACCTACCTAGAGGAGGGATATCAGACGGAGGCTAGGACCACACAACTCACTAGACGCTCACCTTACTCCACGAGATCTAGGACTCGTGGGGCCACTCATTAGATCATGATACCTAGCATCATATGGAATTGTCGGGGTATAGGTAACCTCGAAACCCAATTCTATATAGCTAGCCTTATCAGACAGTACCGACTAGGTATAGTAGGCCTCATTGAGCCCATGATATCATCAGATCGTATCCAACCCTTACTTAAGCGATTGGGTATGGATCATTTTCACTCCAAACCCACGAATCATACTTGGCTCTTTTGGACTAGACCATACTCTATGGAGTTGCTAGTCGAGGGATCCCAGCATATCACTATGACGGTTCGAGATCTCACCCAAGAGTTCACCTTTTCGGTCATCTATGCATCACATCGATCCGAAGAAAGGGAAACTCTTTGGGCGGACCTAGCTCAGTACGTGAGGGACTACCCTACACTAGTTGAGTCTCCTTGGTACCTAGCAGGTGACTTCAACTATGTTCGTAATACTAGTGAACGTCAAGGTGGGCGGATCCCTAGGGCCCGTAACATGGAGACGTTCAATGACTGCATTTTTCGATTAGCTCTTATTGAGCCACCTACATCAGGCGAGGTATGGACGTGGAGCAACAATTGAGGGGACGCTTTGATTTATGAGCGTATCGATCGTTGCTTCATCAATAGCATCGCCATGGTGCGACATCCCATATTAGTCACGATATTACCCCGTTATCGATTAGATCACACCCCGATCCTCATACTCCCTAAACAGAGTATGAGCACCCACAAACCTCCTTTCAGATTTTAGATCATGTGGCTCCAACATGAAGACTTTCAGAGTTTCGTACGGAATCACTGCTACGGACATATCTCAGATCCTCCTATGGAGAACCTTAGCTATAGGTTAAGGAATCTCAAACTCCACCTTAAATGGTGGAACCGACATATCTATGGGAATGTCCATACCCAGGTTGATGTATTGCAAAAAGAGTTAGCAGAGGTTGAAAGACTACTGCAAGCTAGATATTCAGATGCTGCTTGGGAAAGGAGGAGTAGAGTGAGCGACCAGCTTGATGAGGTTGTGCGACGACAGTAGTTATTCTATCTCCAGAAATCACGCATCTAGTGGTTACAAGAGGGTGATAGAAACACTCGTTTCTTTCATGCCTCGGTCGCTCACCGCTCACGTTCAGATTATACCTCTCTTTTAGAGACATATGATCAGGACCTTTCCCGGCAAGGGTTGAGTACTTTCGTACTCTCTTAACCTCTCAGCCGATCGAGATTTCTGATGATATGCGCACTTCGATCCCATCATTGGTCACTCACCATGAGAGCTCTCTCACAACGGCCATACCCACGGGAGAAGAGATCAAGGAAGTAGTTTTCTCTATGAGCAGACATCGTGCACCTAGGCTCGATGGTTTCCTAGCTGATTTTTACATTTCATGTTGGGATATCGTTGGCACTGATCTCATCCAAGCTATCAAGGAAATCTTTCATCGTAAAGTCTTTACACGAAGTTGGAAGGCCACCTTCCTTGCACTTATACCGAAGGTGACTACCCCAACCTCATTTAGAGACTTTCGACCTATCAGTTTATGTAACGTGTGTTATAAAGTTATATCTAAGATCGTTACACGTAGATTGAGTAGTTTTCTTGATAGACTTATATCTCCAGAGCAATGCGGATTTGTCAAGGGACGGTACATTCACGATAACATCATGCTAGTACATGAACTAGCACAGTCCCTTGGCCATGACTATCGAGGCTCCAACATCATCATCAAATTAGACATGGAGAAAGCCTTTGATAGGATAGAGTGGAGTTTCCTCATTAAGGTTCTTAGATGCTTTAGGTTCACCGACGACTTCATTGACTTAGTTGATGCATGTGTTAGGGAGAATCATTTCTCTTTATTGGTGAACGGTAGCTCCACACCATTCTTCACGGCCACGAGAGGTCTACGACAGGGTGATCCACTATCACCCACCCTCTTCATCTTGGTCGAAGAAGTCCTCAGTCGATCCCTCACTCGAGCGATCAATCAAGGACTTATCCGACCATACTACTCGAAGAGGGGTTGTCCGATCATCTCACACTCCCTCTTTGCTGATGATGCGATACTCTTCCTCAATGGATGTGAGACATCGATTAGAGGGCTCATGAGTATTATCTCGAGATATGAGCGAGCTGCAGGTCAACTCGTAAATGCGTCGAAGAGTAGCTTCACGGTAGGCCCTTCTACCCCCATAGGGACCATACGACGCATCCAGGGCCTAATAGGGTTCTCTCGTGGACACTTACCTTTTGACTATCTAGGATGTCCTATCTTCCTCGGCCGTAGGCGCATACACTATTTTGACGCCCTAGTGGGTAAGTTGAGGAAGAAACTAGCGGGATGGAAGATACAGCTTCTATCCCCTGGAGGACGGATCCAGTTGATACGCCATGTCCTCATGAGCATGCCATTACACCTTTTGGCAGTCCATGAGGTACTAGACACCGTCTTACAAACTATTAGACGGATATGCACGTCCTTCCTTTGGGATGGACAACTTGAGGGACCTCGTCGCCAACGTCGAGTTTCTTGGGAGAAAGCATGTCGACCTACGAATGAGGGTGGCCTAGGTATTAGGCGCCCTCAAGATGTATTCAACATGCTTCAAAAGAAACTCGTTTGGAGGATGAGGACCACACCATCGGTGCTAGGCTCTTTTGTGTCAGCCAAATATGGTGAGTGGGCCCGACAGCCGGCCGACATCAAAGGAATCAAACGATGGGCAGACTAGCAACGACATTGGTTGGAGATGGTGCCCCTTATTCGTTGGCGAGTGGGGCGAGGTGCGATCAGTGCCTGGTACGACACTTGGCTAGAGGACACATCATTGGCCTGTTTTACCACTTTCACATCCTCTTGGCCTCGTTTGACGGTAGCCCAGCTTCTCCAAGGAGACACTCGTCTACTTATTGAGAGGCATGGACTACCGTCGGACTTGTTACCAGCCATCACCATGACTGAGACGAGTTTTACTGACGACCAACCCATCTGGACACTTATGATAGATGGCAGTTTCTCTTGTAGCTCCTCTTGGGAGCACTTTAGAAACTGCTCCCCAAAGACATTTTGGGGAAATCTCAGATGGCATCCAGCCATCACACCTCGTGTTTCGTTCTTCCTATGGAAGTTCATGCACCGAGGACTACCCACCGACGATCGAGTGATTGTCACCGATCAAGAGGTGGAAAGGAGATGTCATTGTTGCTCCATCACGACGGACGAAAGTATGGAACATCTATTTTTCCATAGTGATATCGTTGTCGAGTGTTGGAGTCAACTTCTAGCGAATTGGCTTCCAATGCTCTCGTACAGACCTACGAGACCACCACTAGAGGTCTTTAGGAGAGTCATTGACTCACCGACGAGTGTCAAGGTTAGTCCCTTCATCCGTATCTCCATAGCATATATGTTATGGGAAATATGGAAGGGACGTAACTCATCTCGATTTGCAGGCCAAGTGATGCGTGCCACAGAGATTATGAGGCACGTGACACAATGGCTTCGGAGTACTCATTCCTTAGTGCCAAACAAAACGAAACGCTCGCGTTCTGTTTGTGAGGCTTTTGGGCTTTGGGGACTCCATATCATACCTACACAGACCTGGACTATTATCCGATCTGTTAGATGGACACCACCGAGGGCTGGACGGTGGAAACTCAACGTCGACGGAGCATCTCAAGGCAACCCAGGACCGTCTGGAGGAGGAGGTATCTTACGCGATAGTACAGGATGCATTCTCTTTGCCTTTTCGAACTTTTATAATATATGAACTAATACTGTGGTAGAGGCTATGACAATACGGGATGGTTTGCTTCTTTGTGAGGAGCAAAATATTACTAATATTACTAATATTACTAATATTACTAAAGTGTTAGTGGACATGTTACGTGCAGACTCTTGTCCTCATTGGAGGCTCAAGAATATCTGGGCAAACATCATGCGATGTCAAGGACGCATCACAACCATTATGCATCAGTTCCGAGAAGGGAATCAGACAGCCGACGCCCTTGCTACGCATGGAGTCAGATCGTGTCGGAGGACAGTCTTCTCTTTTTGGCAGGACATGCCCCTCGAAGCTCGAGGTGCTCATAGACTTGAGCGACTCGGCATACCCTCTTTACGCATACACCGCACTCCACTACCGACCCCTCCACGGTAGTGGCGTATCGCTTGGAGGAGATCAAGGGTGGTTACTATTGGCCGCTGAAGACCACAATGGAGATACAACATAAGACGGACAACAAGGCACATCGTAATCCACTCGGGTACACTACTTCCAATCATTACTCTCCTCATAATCACCTCACATCTACTATCTATCACCCTCAAGTACTGAGGACATAAAACTATCAGCACATGTTGGCATCTGCCCACTTTTGAACTATAGGTCTATAGCACATCAGACCTGCTAAACTAGTTGTGAATCGCCAACCTAGCACCTCTCTCAAGATCTCATCAGTACCATCAGCCAGCTTGAACCCATGAGAAGGTAAGGATCTATATCCATAGGATTGACCCTCTCTCCTCTCTCTCTCTCTCGATTCTCTATCTCTTTCTCCCTCCCTTTCTCTCTCTTAAAAAAAAAAAAGAGACAGCCTAGTTCTTTTCCCGAAATCACTAGCCCATCATAGACAATTAGTGGAGGGTGAGGGACAAGGCCCTCAAAAAAAAAAAAAAAAAAAGAAAAAAAAAAAGAAAAAGGGGGTAACCGACTTCCCTTCCCCTAATCACTAGCCTAATATTCCAAAGGGAATTACCCTTGTACACCAAATAATGGGCATTAGTGGAGGGTAAAAGAAGAGGCCCTCAAGGAGAGAGAAAGAAGAGAGAGAGAATAAGAGAAAAGAAAAGAGTTAGAAAAAGAGACCAAGTCATTCCTCGTGGGGTGAAAGGTCCCTTACCTACTTAGAGGAAATACGGCAACTGATGGTACTAACAAGATCTTGGCTAGAGGGATTAGACGCGTGCAACACTAGGAAGGCAAGTTCATATTTGGGCTTATTATCATACTCCAGCATAGTTCTATCCTCCTCATTGCCCTAACAACTATTTTCTCACCACTTTATATCATATTATTTATTTCTTAGAACCACTTATTGCAGTAAACTCTTGTCTTGTAGGAACACCTCATGGCGCACAACACAGAGGTCTACACGTCCTACTACTGTTGAAAAGATCTTCCACCTTTCATGAACTCAAAGGCTCTTTCAGCCCAATGCAAATCAACCGCCTTCTTCAAATATGATGAGCGCACTGGAGTCTATCTCCAGTATTATCACATCCCCTCTTCAAAAGAGGTCTTTAATTCTCCATGTCATCCTCGCCCCTTGTGTGAATGAGATCCCACTTATGTAACCTCAAAATGAGGTCAAACTTTTATCACTCAATCAAATTTCTTCTTAAAAAAAAAAAAAAAAAAAAAAAAAAAACCCCTGCCTCCTGCATGCGGAAAAGGTCCTGATCATATGTCTCTAAAAGAGAGGTATAATCTGAACGTGAGCGGTGAGCGACCGAGGCATGAAAGAAACGAGTGTTTCTATCACTCTCTTGTAACCACTAGATGCATGATTTCTGGAGATAGAATAACTCCTGTCGTCGCACAACCTCATCAAGCTGGTCGCTCACTCTACTCCTTTCCCAAGCAGCAATCTGAATATCTAGCTTGCAGTAGTCTTTCAACCTCTGCTAACTCTTTTTGCAATACATCAACCTGGGTATGGACATTCTCATAGATATGTCGGTTCCACCATTTAAGGTGGAGTTTGAGATTCCTTAACTGATAGCTAAGGTTCTCCATAGGAGAATCTGAGATATGTCCGTACCAGTGATTCCGTATGAAACTCTGAAAGTCTTCATGTTAGAGCCACATGATCTGAAATCTGAAGGGAGGTCTATGGGTGCTCATACTTTGTTTAGGGAGTATGAGGATCGGGGTGTGATCTAACCGATAACGGGGTAATATCGTGACTAATATGGGATGTCGCACCATGGTGATGTTGTTGATGAAACAGCGATCGATACGCTCATAAATCAAAGCGTCCCCTCGATTGTTGCTCCACGTTCATGCCTCGCCTGATGTAGGTGGCTCAATAAGAGCTAATCAAATAATGCAGTCATTGAACGTCTCTATGTTACGGGCCCTAGGGATCCGTCTACCTTGACGTTCACTAGTATTTCGAACACAGTTGAAGTCACCTGCTAGGTACCAAGGAGACTCAACTAGTGTAGGGTAGTCCCTCACGTACTGAGCTAGGTCCACCCAAAGAGTTTCCCTTTCTTCGGATCTATGTGATGCATAGATGACCGAGAAGGTGAACTCTTGGGTGAGATCTCGAACTGTCGAAGTGATATGCTGGGGTCCCTCGACTAGCAAATCCATAGAGTATGGTCTAGTCCAAAAGAGCCAAATATGATTCGTGGGTCCCTCGATTCGCAGCGTATTGCTTGGAGGAGATCAGGGGTGGTTACTATTGGCCGCTGAAGACCACAATGGAGATACAGGTACGTGTTTCTTTTGTTTCTATTTTTAGGTCTATCACAAGCCACAACCATGACATCATCATGGCGCTCATCCCATACCATCAATGTGGAATGCACTTTGCCTATCAGCACAAGACAGACAACAAGGCACATCGTAATCCACTCGGGTACACTACTTCCAATCATTTCTCTCCTCATAATCACCTTACATCTACTATCTATCACCCTCAAGTACTGAGGACATAAAACTATCAGCACATGTTGGCATCTGCCCACTTTTGAACTATAGGTCTATAGCACATCAGACCTGCCAAACTAGTTGTGAATCGCCAACCTAGCACCTCTCTCAAGATCTCATTAGTATCATCAGCCAGCTTGAACCCATGAGAAGGTAAGGATCTATATCCATAGGATTGACCCTCTCTCCTCTCTCCTCTCTCCTCTCTCTCTCTCTCGATTCTCTATTTATTTCTCCCTCCCTTTCTCCCTCTTGAAAAAAAAAAAAAAAAAAAAAAAAAAAAAGAGACAGCCTACTTCTTTTCCCGGAATCACTAGCCCATCATAGATAATTAGTGGAGGGTGAGGGAAAGGGCCCTCAAAAAAAAAAAACAAAAAAAAAAAAAGGCGGCAACCTACTTCCCTTCCCCTAATCACTAGCCTAATACTCCAAAGGGAATTACCCTTGTACACCAAATAATGGGCATTAGTGAAGGGTAAAAGAAGAGGCCCTCAAGGAGAGAGAAAGAAGAGAGAGAGAATAAGAGAAAAGAAAAGAGTTAGAAAAAGAGACCAAGTTATTCCTCGTGGGGTGAAAGGTCCCCTACCTACTTAGAGGAAGTACGGCAACTGATGGTACTAACAAGATCTTGGCTAGAGGAATTAGACGTGTGCAACACTAGGAAGGCAAGTTCATATTTGGGCTTATTGTTATGCTCCAACATAATTTTATCCTCCTCACTACCCTAACAACTATTTTCTCACCACTTTATATCATATTATTTATTTCTTAGAACCACTTACTGCAATAAACTCTTGTTTTGCAGGAACACCTCATGGCGCACAACATGGAGGTCTACACGTCTTACTACTGTTGAGCAAATCTTCCAACTTTCATGAACTCAAAAGTTCTTTCAGCTCAATGCAAATCAACCGACTTCTTCAAATATGATGAGCGCACTGGAGTCTATCTCCAGTATTATCACATTCCCTCTTCAAAAGAGGTCTTTAATTCTCCATGTCATCCTCGCCCATTGTGCGAATGAGATCCCACTTATGTAACCTCAAAATGAGGTCAAACTTTTATCACCCAAAAAACAAAAAAAAAAAAAAAAAAACTCTAAACCCTAAACCCATCCCACCGCTATTGCTCAACTTTTTTCTCTCTCCTCGCGGGAGCTTCTCTCTCTTCACCTTCAACTGACCTCCATCTGAAATGGCGATATCTTTTTCGTGTGACTTCCGATCGCGCTGAAATCAGTTCCATTGGATTCGGAAGGCCAAAATCTATGAACTTCGAGCTATTAAGCGTCGAAAATAGTGGATTGAAGCCTTCGTTGTCCGGATTTCTTCATTGAGAGGTATTTTTCCGGACTTTTCGTTCTAAAGGTAATATCTCTCTCGTTACTTGGACCAAGTTTAATATTTTTAAATCATTTGAATCGTATTTCTGTGTTCTATATTTTTCTCTTCTTCATCATCTTCATCTGATGCTTACTTGATGAGTAAATCAGAGATTTCATTGGCAGACTCATGTCCGCCGGATGAAAAAATGAGGGAAGCATGCGACCGAATAGGAAACCGCCACGTGGGGTGACTCGTCCGCGGCGATAAAACGCCATCCGAGGAACCTATTGATGGCCCGGACATTGGGGCAGTCAATGGGCGGAACGGCCGCCTTGAGAACGGCAGTGATTCGCCGTTGGCCGACGTCCCCTCGGTTTCCGCAAACGAGGGAATGGCTCTTGGCGCCATTCCCTCGCTCTGCGGGAAAGGGGAGAGGGCACGTGGCGTCGTCTCCCCTGACCTCACCGTTGATCGTGAGATTAACGGTGAGGATCGACGAGATGAAAAGGCCGGTGATGTGGGGGCGGTGTCAGCTGACGTGGACTCGTCAGCTTCGGTCCTTGATCTGACCGTTAATCTTGCGATCAACGGACAGGAGGGAGTCGAGATAAAGGCGCCGCATTCTACTGATGCCGTTACCTCGGTCCTCGTACCCATGGCGTCCCCCCCAGCGGAGGCTGACGCGGACTCGTCAGCTTGCGGAGAAAAGGCGTCAGGTGGCGGCTTTTCCTCGGAATCGGCTCTTCATCATCTGACCGTTGATCTTGAGATCAACGGACAGGAGGAAGCCGAGATAAAGGCGCCGCATTCTGCCGACGCCGTCACCTCGGTCCTGACAGCCAACGCGTCCCCGCTAGCGGTGGCTGACGGGGGCGGCGCCACTATGGTGGCGGCGGCACCCGTTCAGGCTGAGGCAGCAACACTCAAGGCCGCGAAACCCAAGGATGTCCGGGCCCAAGCACATGTGCGGCCCGTTACTGCCAAAGTAATACCTATGTGGCCAGAGCCAGTCCAGATCCAAACTCAAGCCCCAGTCATACTAACCCAGCCCACACAAATTCTTAATATGTCGGCCCAGCCCACTTAAACCTTAGCCCAGACTTGGGCCCAGCGACTTACAAGAACACAGCCAACTCCTACAACTCAGAACACACACCGAGCTCCATTACTTCCTATGTACACTACGGACCTCTTACCACGAAGTTATACTGAGGAAGAAAGAATGAGAATAGTCTCATTCTCTTCGAACGAGGTCTCTCAGCTAATTGAGGCATTCCAGTTTGCATTGATTGAACGTTTTACCATAAAACGTCCCCATTTAGATGACATACTGAAAATATATTTAGCCTCTGGACATTTTTAGGGAAATGTAGCCATTGGTGCTCGTGATTACCAGAGTGTCTTCATCCGATTCGAGCTCGAGGCTGACTATCGGAAAGCCTAGAGCCGGACCACATGGGAGATTCAAAATGCCATTATGTACACTCATAGATGGACCCCATATCTTGACGGCACCTCTTGAGGGAAACAACCCTACTCCACTTCAGTTTGGATAGGTTTTCCGAGCTTGCCAGCACATCTATTCACGCCCAAGGCACTTGAGTCCTTGGCAAATGCAGTCGAAACATTTATACGCCTAGATCTAGGTGTTAAAATGTTCAATTGTCCAGGATATGCCCGCGTATGTGTCGAGTTAGACCTCTTAGCCCTCCTTCAGCGTATGATTATTGTGCAGAATGGGGATGAGAAAATCTACCAAAATATTATATATGAGAGATTACCTCATTTCTGCACACATTGCACGATTTTTGGACACACTATTCACACATGTCGACAAAAAAATACTTCATCACTATCGGGGTCTACTTCTCTTCACTTACCACCCCTCTCATATGACGACTATATTGTTGAGGTAGAAAAGACTACGTCTAGTCGTCGTCCTACACCGACCTCACATATTTCATCCCGACCATCAACATTCCAGGCTAGTACCCTACTGACAGGTTCTCACAAGACACCTCCACCTACTCTGGCGACACATTCCATTCCTCGAGCATCCACTTCCACCCGTAAAGGGAGGAAGACGGTAGCACGAGCATCACCTCTTGTCTCAGTAGACATAGGAAAGATAGCCCAGACGTCGAATGCTTTCGATGCTCTCAGTACTTTGATTGAGGAGACTGATAGTGTTCCCACTATAGGGAAAGGTGACAGCCCACGAGTTCGACGATGCTCCCCTAAACGGGGAATTACTACTACTACTACTTTACCTTCGACCAGCCTCTCTCCATCCACTAGACTTCCTAAACCTATTACTTCCCCCACTACAAGGGACTCACCTAGTCAAACCCCACATACTAGATCCCCCCAGGCTATCCGACCCCCCATACTCACCCACCCCACTCCACCCATTAGTGTCTCTCCACCACCCAGCTCCTCCCCGCCCATTCACTCTTCCCCACGTAGCATGAGTCCTTCACCTCTTAGTCCCCACCGACCGAGGTCTACCCCTTTCTCTGAGGGTATAGGCTTGGGCACTACCCATCCCCCTCAAATGCCCATCGAGGATCTACTAGGAGGGCCTACCCCCAGCATACTTCCTATTAGTACATCTTATGTAGCCCCCGTTCTGATTCTTATACCCTCCCCCCCTCTCCCCCACTACACCCGCCAGATCAGTTTCCTATACTTGATCCACCACCCGTTGATTCTAGGGAGAGCACCGATAGAGGACAGTGCTTGACGAATCGTCAAGCACCGCACCCATCCTCCTCATCTAGTGCTCATGATACTAGTGGCCACATGACTAGTACCCATGAGGATGGTGGATCTGAGACTCATATTGAGACTACCTACCTAGAGGAGGGATATCAGACGGAGGCTAGGACCACACAACTCACTAGACGCTCACCTTACTCCACGAGATCTAGGACTCGTGGGGCCACTCATTAGATCATGATACCTAGCATCATATGGAATTGTTGGGGTATAGGTAACCTCGAAACCCAATTCTATATAGCTAGCCTTATCAGACAGTACCGACTAGGTATAGTAGGCCTCATTGAGCCCATGATATCATCAGATCGTATCCAACCCTTACTTAAGCGATTGGGTATGGATCATTTTCACTCCAAACCCACGAATCATACTTGGCTCTTTTGGACTAGACCATACTCTATGGAGTTGCTAGTCGAGGGATCCCAGCATATCACTATGACGGTTCGAGATCTCACCCAAGAGTTCACCTTCTCGGTCATCTATGCATCACATAGATCCGAAGAAAAGGAAACTCTTTGGGCGGACCTAGTTCAGTACGTGAGGGACTACCCTACACTAGTTGAGTCTCCTTGGTACCTAGCAGGCGACTTCAATTGTGTTCGTAATACTAGTGAACGTCAAGGTGGGCAGATCACTAGGGCCCGTAACATGGAGACATTCAATGACTGCATTTTTCGATTAGTTCTTATTGAGCCACCTACATCAGGCGAGGTATGGACGTGGAGCAACAATTGAGGGGACGCTTTGATTTATGAGCGTATCGATCGTTGCTTCATCAATAGCATCGCCATGGTGCGACATCCCATATTAGTCACGATATTACCCCGTTATCGATTAGATCACACCCCGATCCTCATACTCCCTAAATAGAGTATGAGCACCCACAAACCTCCTTTCAGATTTTAGATCATGTGGCTCCAACATGAAGACTTTCAGAGTTTCGTACGGAATCACTAGTACAGACATATCTCAGATTCTCCTATGGAGAACCTTAGCTATAGGTTAAGGAATCTCAAACTCCACCTTAAATGGTGGAACCGACATATCTATGGGAATGTCCATACCCAGGTTGATGTATTGCAAAAAGAGTTAGCAGAGGTTGAAAGACTACTGCAAGCTAGATATTCAGATTGCTGCTTGGGAAAGGAGTAGAGTGAGCGACCAGCTTGATGAGGTTGTGCGACGACAGTAGTTATTCTATCTCCAGAAATCACGCATCTAGTGGTTACAAGAGGGTGATAGAAACACTCGTTTCTTTCATGCCTCAGTCGCTCACCGCTCACGTTCAGATTATACCTCTCTTTTAGAGACATATGATCAGGACCTTTCCCACATGCAGGAGGCAGGGGTTGAGTACTTTTGTACTCTCTTAGCCTCTCAGCCGATCGAGATTTCTGATGATATGCTCACTTCGATCCCATCATTGGTCACTCACCATGAGAGCTCTCTCACAACGGCCATACCCACGGGAGAAGAGATCAAGGAAGTAGTTTTCTCTATGAGCAGACATCGTGCACCTAGGCTCGATGGTTTCCTAGCTGATTTTTACATTTCATGTTGGGATATCGTTGGCACTGATCTCATCCAAGCTATCAAGGAAATCTTTCATCGTAAAGTCTTTACACGAAGTTGGAAGGCCACCTTCCTTGCACTTATACCGAAGGTAACTACCCCAACCTCATTTAGAGACTTTCGACCTATCAGTTTATGTAACGTGTGTTATAAAGTTGTATCTAAGATCGTTACACGTAGATTGAGTAGTTTCCTTGATAGACTTATATCTCCAGAGCAATGCGGATTTGTCAAGAGACGGTACATTCACGATAACATCATGCTAGTACATGAACTAGCACAGTCCTTTGGCCATGACTATCGAGGCTCCAACATCATCATCAAATTAGACATGGAGAAAGCCTTTGATAGGATAGAGTGGAGTTTCCTCATTAAGGTTCTTAGACGCTTTGGGTTCACCGATGACTTCATTGACTTAATCGATGCATGTGTTAGGGAGAATCATTTCTCTTTATTGGTGAATGGTAGCTCCACACCATTCTTCACGGCCACGAGAGGTCTACGACAGGGCGATCTACTATCACCCACCCTCTTCATCTTGGTCGAAGAAGTCCTTAGTCGATCCCTCACTCGAGCGATCAATCAGGGACTTATCCGACCATACTACTCGAAGAGGGGTTGTCCGATCATCTCACACTCCCTCTTTGCTGATGATGCGATACTCTTCCTCAATGGATGTGAGACATCTATTAGAGGGCTCATGAGTATTATCTCGAGGTATGAGCGAGCTGCAGGTCAACTCGTAAATGCCTCGAAGAGTAGCTTCACGGTAGGCCCTTCTACCCCCATAGGAACCATACGACGCATCCAGGGCTTAACAAGGTTCTCTCGTGGACACTTACCTTTTGACTATCTAGGATGTCCTATCTTCCTCGGCCGTAGGCGCATACACTATTTTGACGCCCTAGTGGGCAAGTTGAGGAAGAAACTAGTGGGATGGAAGTTACAGCTTCTATCCCCTGGAGGACGGATCCAGTTGATACGCCATGTCCTCATGAGCATGCCATTACACCTTTTGGCAGTCCATGAGGTACCAGACACCATCTTACAAACTATTAGACGGATATGCACGTCCTTCCTTTGGGATGGACAACTTGAAGGACCTCGTCGCCAACGCCGAGTTTCTTGGGAGAAAGCATGTCGACCTACGGATGAGGGTGGCCTAGGTATTAGGCGCCCTCAAGATGTACTCAACATGCTTCAAAAGAAGCTCGTTTGGAGGATGAGGACCACACCATCAGTGCTAGGCTCTTTTGTGTTAGCCAAATATGGTGAGTGGGCTCGACAGCCGACCGACATCAAAGGAGTCAAACGATGGGTAGACTGCCAGCGACATTGGTTGGAGATGGTACCCCTTATTCGTTGGCGAGTGGGGCGAGGCGCGATCAGTGCCTGGTACGACACTTGGCTAGAGGACACACCATTGGCCTGTTTTACCACTTTCACATCCTCTTAGCCTCGCTTGACGGTAGCCCAGCTTCTCCAAGGAGACACTCGTCTACTTATTGAGAGGCATGGACTACCGTCGGACTTGTTACCAACCATCACCATGACTGAGACGAGTTTTACTGACGACCAACCCATCTGGACACTTACCATAAATGGCAGTTTCTCTTGTAGCTCCTCTTGGGAGCACTTTAGAAACTGCTCCCCAAAGACATTTTGGGGAAATCTCATATTGCATCCGGCCATCACACCTCGTGTTTCGTTCTTCCTGTGGAAGTTCATGCACCGAGGATTACCCATTGACGATCGAGTGATTGTCACCGATCAAGAGGTGGAAAGGAGATGTCATTGTTGCTCCATCACGACGGACGAAAGTATGGAACATCTATTTTTCCATAGTGATATTGCTGTTGAGTGTTGGCGTCAACTTCTAGCAAATTGGCTTCCAATGCTCTCGTACAGACCTATGAGACCACCACTAGAGGTCTTTAGGAGAGTCATTGACTCACCGACGAGTGTCAAGGTTAGTCCCTTCATCTGTATCTCCATAGCATATATGTTATGGGAAATATGGAAGGGACGTAACTCATCTCGATTTGCAGGCCAAGTGATGCGTGCCACAGAGATTATGAGGCACGTAACACAATGGCTTCGGAGTACTCATTCCTTAGTGCCAAACAAAACGAAATGCTCGCGTTCTGTTTGTGAGGCTTTTGGGCTTTGGAGACTCCATATCATACCTACACAGACCCGGACTACTATCCGATCTGTTAGATGGACACCACCGAGGGCTGGACAGTGGAAACTCAATGTCGATGGAGCATCTCAAGGTAATTCAGGACCATCTGGAGGAGGAGGTATCCTACGCGATAGTACAGGATGCATTCTCTTTGCCTTTTCAAACTTTTATAATATACGAACTAATACTGTGGCAGAGGCTATGGCAATACGGGATGGTTTGCTTCTTTGTGAGGAGCAAAATATTATTAATATTGTCTTAGAATCTGATTCCAAAGTGTTAGTGGACATGTTACGTGCAGACTCTTGTCCTCATTGGAGGCTCAAGAATATCTAGGCAGACATCATGCGATGTCGAGGGTGCATCACAACCATTACGCATCAGTTCCGAGAAAGGAATCAGACGGCTGACGCCCTTGCTACACATGGAGTCAGATCGATCAGAGGATAGTCTTCTCTTCTTGGCAGGACATGCCCCTCGAAGCCCGAGGTACTCATAGACTTGAGCAACTCGGCATACCCTCTTTACGCATAGACCGCACTCCACTACCGGCCCCTCCACGGCAGTGGCGTATTGCTTGGAGGAGACCAGGGGTGACTACTATTGGCTGCTGAAGACCACAATGGAGATACAGGTACGTGTTTCTTTTGTTTCTATTTTCAGGTCTATCACAAGCCACAACCATGACATCATCATGGCGCTCATCCCATACCACCAATGTGGAATGTACTTTGCCTACCAACACAAGACGGACAACAAGGCACATCGTAATCCACCCGGGTACACTACTTCCAATCATTACTCTCCTCATAATCACCTCACATCTATTATCTATCACCCTCAAGCAATGAGGACACAGAACTATCAGCACATGTTGGCATCTGCCCACTTTTGAACTATAGGTCTATAGCACATCAGACCTGCCAAACTAGCTGTGAATCACCAACCTAGCACCTCTCTCAAGATCTCATTAGTACCATCAGCCAGCTTGAACCCATGAGAAGGTAAAGATCTATATCCATAGGATTGACCCTCTCTCCTCTCTCTCTCTCTCTCGATTCTCTATTTCTTTCTCCCCCTCTTTCTCTCTCTTCAAAAAAGAAAAGAAAAAAGAGGCAGCCTATTTCTTTTCCCGGAATCACTAGCCTATCATAGACAATTAGTGGAGGGTGAGGGAAAGGGCCCTTAAAATATAAAAAAATAAAAAAAAGGGGGCAACCTACTTCCCTTCCCCTAATCACTAGCCTAATACTCCAAGGGAATTACCTTTGTACACCAAATAATGGGCATTAGTGGAGGGTAAAAGAAGAGGCCGTCAAAAAAAAAAAAAAGAGAGAGAAAGAAGAGAGAGAGAATAAGAGAAAAGAAAAGAGTTAGAAAAAGAGACCAAGTCATTCCTCGTGGGGTGAAAGGTCCCCTACCTACTTAGAGGAAGTACGGCAACTGATGGTACTAATAAGATCTTGGCCAGAGGGATTAGACGCATGCAACACTAGGAAGGCAAGTTCATATTTGGGCTTATTGTCATGCTCCAGCATAGTTCTATCCTCCTCACTGCCCTAACCACTCTTTTCTCACCACTTTATATCATTTTATTTATTTCTTAGAACCACTTAGTGCAACAAACTATTGTCTTACAGGAACACCTCATGGCGCACAACATGGAGGTCTACACGTCCTACTACTGTTGAACGGATCTTCCAACTTCATGAACTCAAAGGCTCTTCCAGCCCAATGCAAATCAACCGCCTTCTTCAAATATGATGAGCACACTGGAGTCTATCTCCAGTATTATCACATCCCCTCTTCAAAAGAGGTCTTTAATCCCCAAAAAAAAAAAAAAAAAAACCCTAACCGCCCTAAGTGGGAGAGTTGCCATTGGATCCCATAAGAACTCCGGAGTTAAGCCTGCTCGGGTGGGAGTAGTCCCCAGATGGGTGACCTCCCTAGGAAGTCCCCAGGTACGTGCGCATGCATCTCGAGACGCTTGTTGTGCATGTCCTGAAAGGCACCGCTGCATTATCATGCCGCCTGGCACCCCAGCCACCATTCCAAGAGGCATATGTGGCATCATTTCACCATGCCAAGACGCCCCCAGCTTCGAAGAACATGCCGAGAGGCACCCCTGCCACCATGCCGAGAGGCATATGTGGCATCCATCTCACCATGCCAAGACGCCCCCAGCTCCGAAGAATGTGCCGAAAGGCACTAGTGGCATCTATCTCCGAAGAATGTGCATGAGAGGCACCAAAGTGCTTGGGTGTGTGAAGTATCGGGATGGGTGACCTCCCGAGAAGTTCGGCCCAAGACAGTTATCCCAAAGAAAAAAACCTTAAACCCTAAACCCTAACCCTCCTAAGTGGGAGAGTTGCCACCGGATCCCATAAGAACTCTGGAGTTAAGCGTGCTCGGGTGGGAGTAGTCCCCAGATGGGTGACCTCCTTGGGAAGTCCCCAGGTACGTGCGCATGCATCTCGGGACGCTTGTTGTGCATGTCTTGAAAGGCACCGCTGCATTATCATGCCGCCAGGCACCCCTGCCACCATGCCAAGAGGCATATGTGGCATCATCTCACCATGCCGTGCTGTGCATGTGCTGAAAGGCACTATTGCATTACAGTTATCCCAAAAAAAAACAAAAAAAATAACCTAAACCTAGGCACCTAGGCACTGGCCCAGGCCGCTCACGCCTAGACCCTTTAGGTCTAGGCCGCTCAGGCCCAAATCGAGCTGGCCCAGCACAACCCACCCAAGCCCTAGACCTACCAGCCCAAATTGCTGAAACCAAAGCTGCTTAGGCCCACACCGAGCTAACCCAGCCCACCCAGGCCCAAGCCAAGTCTTGGGCCCAATGACTAGTAGGACAACAGCCCACTCCTACAGTGGTGAATACACCGAGACGCGAGCTACACCCCACTTATGATGATGGAATACCATCACGGGGTTACACTGATGAAGGGGGAATGAGAATAGTCTCATTTTCCTCATTGAGGGCATTGACCTTTTGATAGGGTGCTTCTCTACAAAACGTCATCACCTAGGTGATATTTATAAGATCTATTTGGCCCCTAAACATTTTTAGGGTAAGGTAGTCATCGGCGCCCGTAATTATCGGAGCGTCTTTATCCGTTTTGAGCTCGAGGTTGACTATCAGAAAGCTTGGAGTAGGACCACATGGGAGATTCAGGATACCATTATGCATACATATAGATGGACCCCAAAGACAGACGGTATTTCCCAAGGGAAACAACCGCACTCCATTCCAGTTTGGATAAGTTTTCCTAGTCTACCAGCACATTTATTCACGCCTAAGGCACTTGAGTCTTTGGCGAATGCAGTTGGTACATTTATACGCCTAAATCCAAGCGTTAAAATGTTTAACCACCCAGGTTATGCACGAGTATGTGTAGAGATAGACCTCTTGGCCCCCCTTCAACGCATGATCATTGTGCAGAATGGGGATGAGAAGATCTATCAAATAGTTATATACGAGAAACTACCTTATTTTTGTACCCACTGCACAATGTTTGGACACACCATCCACACTTGTCGACATAAGACCACCCCATCATCTTCAAAGTCTACCGTGATTTATTTATCACCCATGTCATATGATGATTATATCACTGAGGTAGGGAAGACTACACCTAGCCGCCCTCTCATACAGAGCTCGCATGCTCTCTCTCGACCACTGTCGGTCCAAATTGGTGTCCCTCCAGCCGGTCCTGGGAGGACAACCCCACCCCCCATACCAACAAGTAAGGGGAAGATAGTCGAGACATCGAATGTTTTTGAGGCTCTAGGTACCTTGATCGAGGAGGCTGACAATGTTCCCATCATAGGGAACAATATCAGCCCATGAGTTTGACGACACTCCCCCAAATAGGGGGGGCCTACTATTACTTCACCTTTAACCAGCTCCTCTCCATCCATCAGACCTTCAGCTCTTACTACCTCTCTGTCACCAACTAGCTCCCCTTCATCTGTTCGACCCTCTACACTCTCACATCTTCCATTACCTATTGCTCCCCATCAGCTAGGTCTGCCCCCTCCCACACCACACCTCGCCCACCCTCCCACCCCCCTCCATCAGCCGATAGGGTCCCCAATAGGAGCCCACCAGGTACATCCCTATTCGACCCTCCTTCTCTTTCTTTTTCTCCCTCCCTACCACCCCAACCTCTGGATCCACCATTGAGCACACCCTTAGAGAGCTCGAGGGAGCGTGAGAGCCCTAGCAGGAGAGAATGCTCGACGAATAGTCGAATAATCTCTCTTTCATCCTCAGTGGAGGACAATAGCGGGCGCTCTACATCGAGTGCTGAAGACTCTGGATTTGAGTCCTCATTGGATCTCCCCATTGAGGGCATTGACCTTTAGAGAGGATACTAGATAGAGATGGTAGATAGGGCTTCACGACATCGCTCTCCATATGTCACGAGATCTAGGGCTCGTGGTAATAACCACCACCACTCATGATACCTAGCTTTATTTGGAACTGTCGAGAGTTGGGCAACCTCGAAACACAGTCCCACATTATTGAACTCATCAATAAGCACTGACTAGGCCTCGTCGGGCTTATTGAACCTATGATACCATCAAATCACATTCACCCATTACTTAGATGTCTAGGCATGGATCAATTTCATTCTAACCCTACAAACCACATTTGGTTGTTCTGGAAGAGATCATATTCTCTACAACTATTAGTTGAGGGGCCACAACATGTTACAATGAGGGTACTAGGCTTTGACCAAGAGTTTATATTCTCGGTCGTTTATGCTTCACATAGACACCAAGATCGTGAGACTCTTTAGGAAAACCTAGTACGATATACACGAGATTATCTTATACTAGTTGATTCTCCTTGGTTCATAGCCAGAGATTTCAACTGCGTACGTAGAGTCACTGAACGTCAAGGGAGATGGGTCCCTCGGGCCCGTCACATGGAGGCGTTCAATGATTTTATTTTTCGCGCGGCCCTCATCGAGCCGCCTACTTTTGGCGAGGTCTAGACGTGGTGCAACGAGAGACAAGGAGGCGCAAGGATATATGAGCACATCGATCGCTGCTTCACTAATAACATTGTAATAGTACAATGTCCCATATTAGTCACACTCCTACCTCGCTATAGGTCAGATCACACGCCGATCCTTATTCTCCTTGACTCGAGAGCTAGTACCCCTAGACCCCCTTTTAGGTTTCAAAATATGTGGACTCGGCACGAAGGCTTCCAAAACTTCGTGTGGAGTCATTGGCATGGAGATATCTCAAACTCTCTTATGGAGAACCTCAGTTACAAACTGAGGAATCTCAAACTTCATCTTAAATGGTGGAACCGGCATGTATACGGGAATATCCACACCCACGTAGAAGAGTTGAAGAAGGAGCTAGCTGGGGTCGAGAGATAGCTGCAAGCTCGATGGACTGACGACACTTGGGCGAGACGAGTTCGAGTGAGTGAGCAACTAGAGGAGGCTGCGCGACGACAGGAGATATATTATCTCCAAAAATCACGCATCTAGTGGCTACACGAGGGTGATAGGAACACACGTTTCTTTCATGCCTTGATCGCACACCGATCTCGATCTGATTATACATCTCTTCTAGAGATGTATGATCAAGGCACATCTCGTCTGCAGGAGGTAGGAATTGCATACTTTCGTACCTTTCTTGCTTCCCAACTGATTGAGATCTCTGAGGATATACTCTCATCGATTCCATCGTTAGTTACCCACCAGGAGATCTCATCCATTATGACCATACCTACTAGGAAGGAGATCAAAGATGCGATCTTCTCAATGAGTAGAAACCGAGCACTTGAGCCTGATGGTTTTCCAGCAGATTTCTATTCAACATGTTGGGACATCGTCAGAACAGATTTAGTTCATGCCATCAAAGAATTCTTCCGCTGCAAAATCTTCCCACGAAGTTGGAAAGCCACCTTTATTGCACTCATACCAAAGGTGGTCAACCCAACTTCTTTTAGAGGTTTTTGGCCCATCAGTCTTTGTAATGTGTGCTATAAAGTTGTATCCAAGATCATTACAACATCTGAATGTTTTTCTTAATAGTCTCATATCTCTAGAACATTGCAGATTTATTAAGGGACGGCACATTCATGATAACATCATGCTAGTTCACGAACTAGCACAATCTCTTGACCAGGACATCTGTGGTTCCAACGTCATCATCAAATTAGACATGGAAAAGACTTTTGATAGGATCGAGTGGAATTTCCTGACCGAAGTGTTTTGACGCTTCAGATTCACCGACGAGTTCATTGACCTGGTCGATGCATGCATTAGGGAGAACCATTTCTCCCTATTGGTGAATAGCACATCCACACCTTTATTCACGGCCACGTGAGGGTTATGGTAGGGTGATCCCCTATCACCCACTCTCTTCATATTGGTTGAAAAAGTCCTTAGTCGAACCCTCTCCCGAGCAGTGACACGTGGGCTTATCCAACCATATCATTCAAAGAGGGGTTGCCCGATCATATCGCATTCTTTGTTTGCTGATGATGCGATACTTTTCCTTAATGGATGTGAAGCGTCCATTAGGGGACTCATGACTATCATCTCGAGCTACGAGCGGGCCACAAGTCAACTCGTCAATGCCTCAAAAAGTAGCTTTATGGTGGCATCTTCTGCCACCATTAGCACCATACGATGTATACAAAACCTAACAGGGTTCTCGCGTGGTCATCTACCCTTTAATTACCTTAGATGCCCCATCTTCCTCGGATGCACTCGGGTTCATTACTTTGATTCCCTTTTGTGCAAGTTGAGGAAGAAACTTGACGGATGGAAGCTTCAACTTCTATCCTCAGGCGGTCGCATCCAATTGATACGCCATGTCCTCATGAGTATGCCCTTGCACCTACTTGCGGTACATGAGGTACCAGACACCGTCTTACGATATGTGAGGCGGATTTGTACCTCCTTCTTATGGGATGGTCAACTCGACGAGCCTCATCGTCAACGCCGAGTTTCTTGAGAGAAAGCATGCCGACCGATGGATGAGGGTGGCCTAGGGATTAGACGCCCTGAAGATATCCTCAATATGCTTCAGAAGAAACTCGTAAGGCAGATGAGGACGACAAGATCACCCCTAGGGACCTTTGTGCTAGTCAAATACGGCGATTGAGCTAGCCAACTGACCGACATAAAAGGAGGAAAGTGATGGGCAGATTGGCAAAGACATTGGTTGCAGATGAGGCCTTTAATCCGATGGCGAGTGGGACGAGGCACTATCAGTGCTTGGTATGACACTTGGCTTGTGGATACTCCCTTGGCCTCCTTTACCTCTTTTATGTCATCCTGACCTCGTCTCATGGTGGCTCAGCTTCTCGATGGAGATACTAATGTATTCCTCGAGAGGCATGGACTCTCATTAGATTTACTACCAAAGATCTCGTTGATAGAGTTGGGCCCTAATGATGATCATCCCATCTGGACTCTTACCCTAGATGAGAGTTTTTCTTGTAGTTCTTGGAATTACTTTAGAAATCGTTCCGCAAAACAGTTTTGGAGATATCTCATTTGGCATCCTACTATCGTACCTCGAGTCTCTTTCTTTATATGGAAATCGATGCACCGCGGACTTCCTACGGATGATCGTATGTCCATCACAAGACATAACATCTGTTCTAAGTGTCATTGTTGTCCCATCACTTTGAGTAATGAAACTATGGGCCACTTATTTTTTCATAGTGTTATTGCTACGGAATGTTGGAACTAACTCTTACTGAATTGGTCCCCAATATTTCATCCTTCTCCATCTCTTACACCCCTATAGATTTTTAGGAGAGTCTTTGATTCACTACAAAGCTCTAGGGGCAGCCCCTACCTACGTATTTCCATAGCATATATGTTATAGGAGATATGAAAGGGGCGAAATCTCTCTTGTTTTGTAGGTCACCAGATGCATGCACCAGAAATCATGAGACACGTCACATAATGGCTGTGAAGTACCCATCCTTTGGTGTCGCCTTCAGCAACATGCTCGGCCTCAATCTATGAGGCCCTTAGGACTTGGGGAGTCCAAGCCATGCCTACGCGTATAGAGATCTCCACTTGGGTCATCCGATGGAGACTGCCGCCAGTTGGACACCTGAAGTTGAACGTCGATGGAGCAGCCCGAGTGAACTTTGGACCTGCAGAAGGAGGAGACATCCTACGGGATCATATAGGGAGTATTATCTTTACCTTCTCTTATTTTTATAACATTCAAACTAACACTGCAACAGAGGCTATGGCAATACGTGACGGTTTGCTCCTCTGTGAGGAACGCAATCTCCATGATATCGTCGTAGAATCTGATTCACGAGTCCTTGTTCAGATGCTGTGCAGGTTCTTGTTCCCATTGGCGGCTTAAGAGTACTTGGACCGACATCATGCGTTGTCGAGCAAGGATCAGTGCCATTATACACCAGTTACGTGATGGGAACCAGACAGTAGACGCGCTCGCTACACATGTAGTATGCACTCGTTTGTGCTCTGTATTCTCCTCTTGGCAAGAGATGCCGCTTGAAGCTCGAGGTTGACATCGCTTAGAGTAGATCGGCATGCCAGCACTTCGTATATGACGAACACGGAGACCTGTCGCCCCCTGACAGTGGCAGATCACCTGGACCAACCCCCAACCAGCACACGACCTAGCATACGCAGCACCACCAACACAAAGCTATCCTCGCACTATGGATGGGAGGATTTCGCAACAATCTCAACCGAGATGATCAACCTTGGTCGTGTCTACCACTTCATCTTTCATTTACCACTTTCCAAAGAGAACTATCTCTTGTCTCCCCTAGATCTCACTATGAGGCTCGGGGATAAACATTCTCTCAACATCAATATAATCAAACTTTAAACCAAAAAAAAAAAACCCTAAAACCCTAAACCCTAAACCCAAGCTAGTACCCCACCGACATGTTCTCACAAGACACCTCCACCTACTCCGGTGACACATTCCATCCCTCAAGCGTCCACTTCCACTTGTAAAAGGAGGAAGATGATAGCACGAGCATCACCTCTTGTGTCAATAGACATAGGAAAAATAGCCCAGACGTCGAATGCTTTCGATGCTCTGAGCACTTTGATTGAGGCTGATAGTGTTCCCATTATAGGGAAAGACAACAGTCCACGAGTTTGACGATGCTCCCCTAAATAGGAAATTACTATTACTACTACTTTACCTTCGACCAGCCTCTCCCCATCCACTAGACCTCCTAAACCTATTACTTCTATGACACCAACTAGTTCAACTTTACCCATTACACCCGCTCTAGTCACCTGTCCTCCATCACCTATTCGCAAACCACTACCTAGCATCGCACCCTCCCACACCACACCTTGCACATCCTCTCAGCCCCCTACATCACCTGATGCGGTCCTTGATATGACCCCAACAGGCACCTCCCCATCAGACTCCCCATGCCTTTCTCCTTTTGACCCTCCTTCTCTTCCACCCCACCCTCTGGATCCTCCTTTGACCACACCTCTAGAGACCTTGATAGAGAGCGATCCTCGACAAGGCTTGGAGACTGATGACACTTCAGTGAGCCCTAATAGGGGAGAATGCTCGACAAATCGTCGAGTCATCTCCCTATCATCCTCAGGGGCGGACACTAGTGGGCACTCTACATCAAGTGCTAAGGACTCTGGATCTGAGACATCATCTTACTATCCTACTGAGGGCTTCAACCCTAAGAGAGGGTACTAGACAGAGGTAGTCAATAGAGCCTCACGACAACATTCTCCCTACATCACAAGGTCTAGGGCTCGTGGCAGTAGATAGTGTACATGATACCCAGCCTTGTTTGGAACTGTCGAGGGTTGGACAACCTCGAAACACAATCTCACATTGTTGAACTCATCAATAAGTGCCGATTATGCCTAGTTGGGCTTATTGAACCAATGATTCCATCAAATCATATTTATCCATTACTTAGACGCTTAGGTATGGATCACTTCCACTCTAACTCTACAAATCACATCTGGTTGTTTTGGAAGAGCCCTTACTCTCTACGGTTACTCATTGAGGGGCCACAACATGTCACAATGAAGGTACTTGGCTCTAGCCAAGAGTTTACGTTCTCTGTTGTTTATGCTTCACATAGACACCAAGATCATGAGACTCTTTGGAAAGACCTAGTACGATATACACAGGATTATCCCATACTAGTTGATTCTCCTTGGTTCATAGTTGGAGATTTCAACTACATATGTAGAGTCACTGAACATCAAGGAGGGTGGGTCCTTCGGGCCTGTTATATGGAGATGTTCAATGATTTTATTTTTTGCGCGGCCCTCATCGAGCCTCCTACTTTTGGCGAGGTCTGGACATGGTGCAATGAGAGACAAAGAGGCACAAGGATATATGCGCGCATTGATCGTTGCTTCACTAATAACATTACATTAATGCAATGTCCCATATTAGTCACACTCTTACCCCACTATAGGTCAGATCACATGCCAATTCTTATTCTCCCTAACTCGAGAGCTAGTTCCCCTAGACCTCCTTTTAGGTTTCAAAATATGTGGACTCAAGATGAAAGCTTCCAAAGCTTCGTGTGTAGTCATTGGCACGGAGATATCTCTAACTCTCCTATGGAGAACCTCAGTTACAAACTAAGGAATCTCAAACTCCACCTTAAATGATGGAACTGGCATGTATACGGAAACATACACACCCAAGTGAAAGATTTGAAGAAGGAACTAACAGAGGTCGAGAGGCAACTACAAGTTCAATGGAGTGACATTACTTGGGAGAGACGAGTTCGAGTGAATGAGTAATTAATAGAGGCCACGCGACAACAGGAGATATACTATCTCCAAAAATCACGTATCTAATGGTTGTGTGAGGGTGATAGGAACACATGTTTCTTTCATGCCTCGATCACACATCAATCTCGATCTGATTATACATCTTTTCTAGAGGTGTATGATCATGACACATCCCGTATGCAAGAGGCAGGAATTGTGTACCCTCCTTTCCTCTCAGCCAATTGAAATCTCTGAAGATATCCTCTCATCGATTTCATCTTTAGTCACCCACCAAGAGATAAAGGACATCATGACCATACCTACTAGAGAAGTGATCCGAGATGTAGTCTTCTCGATAAGTAGGAACCGAGCACTTGGACCCAATGGTTTCCCAATTCATTTTTATACATCATGTTGGGACATCGTTGGAACAGATATAGTACATGCCGTCAAAGAATTCTTCTGTCGCAAAGTCTTTCCACGGAGTTGGAAAGCCACCTTTATTACCCTCATCTCAAAGGTGACCAACCCAACTTCTTTTAGTGACTTTCGCCCCATCAGTCTTTGTAATGTATGTTATAAGATTGTATCTAAGATCATTACAGCATGATTGAAGACTTTCCTTGATCGGCTCATCTCTAAAGCAATGCGGATTTGTTAAGGGACGCCACATTCACGATAACATCATATTAGTTCATGAACTAACACAGTCCCTTGATCAAGACATTCGTGGTTCTAATGTTATCATCAAACTAGACATGGAAAAAGCTTTTCATAGAATCGAGTGGAAATTCCTCACTGAAATACTTCGACGCTTCGGATTCACCGACAAGTTCATCGACTTAGTTGATGCATGTGTTAAGGAGAATCACTTCTCCCTACTGGTGAATGGCACTTCCACCCCTTTCTTCACTATCACACGAGGTTTACAATAGGGTGATTCATTATCACCCACTCTCTTCATATTAGTTGAAGAAGTCCTTAGTAGAACCCTCTCTCGAGCAGTATCACGTGGACTTATTCAACCATATCATTCGAAGCGGGGTTACCCGATCATATCGCATTCCTTGTTTGTTGATGATGTTATACTCTTCCTTAATAGATGTGAGGCATCTATTAAAGGACTCATGACTATTATCTCGAGCTACGAGTGGGCCACAGGTCAACTCGTTAATGTCTCGAAAAACAGTTTTATGGTAGCATCTTCTACCACCATTAGCACCATACACCGTATACAAGATATAACAAGATTCTCATGTGGACGTTTACTTTTTGATTATCTTGGATGTCTTATCTTCCTTGGACACACTCGGATTCATTATTTTGATGCCCTTCTGTGCAAGTTGAGGAAGAAACTTGTCAGATGGAAACTTCAGCTTCTATCCTCAAGAGGTCGCATCCAATTGATACGCCATGTCCTCATGAGTATGCCATTATATCTACTAGTAGTACATGAGGTACCGGATACCGTCCTACGATCTGTGAGGCGGATATGTACCTCTTTTTTGTGGGATGGCCAACTTGACGGACCTCATCGCCAACGACGAGTTTCTTGAGATAAAGCATGCCGACCGACAGAAGAGGGTGGACTAGAGATTAGACATCCTAAAGACATACTCGACATGCTTCAGAAGAAACTCGTATGACGGGTGAGGACAACGAGATCAATCTTAGGGACCTTTGTGTTTGCCAAATATGGCGACTGAGCTAACCAACCGACAAACATAAAAGGAGGGAAGCGGTGGGCAGATTGGTAGAGACATTGGCTTCAAATGAAGCCTTTAATCCAGTGGCATGTGGGACAAGGCACTATCAGTGTCTGGTACGACACTTGACTTGTGGATACCCCTTTGGCCTCTTTACCTCCTTCACGCTATCTTGGCCCCCACTCACGGTGGGCCAACTTCTCGAGGGGGATACTAAACTACTCATCGAGCGGCATGAACTCTCCCTAGTTTTATTACTAGAGATCTCGTTGATAGAGCTAAGCCCTAGGGATGATGAGGCCATTTGGACTCTCACCCATGATGGGAGTTTCTCTTGTAGTTCTTCTTGGAACTATTTTAGAAATCATTCCTTAAAACAGGTTTGGGAAATCTTCTTTGACATCATGCTATCATACCTCGAGTCTCTTTCTTTATGTGGAAACAAATGCACTGAGGACTCCCTACTAATGATCGTATGGCCATCACTAGACACCACATATGTTTTAGGTGTCATTGTTGCCACACCACTTTAAGAAACAAAACTATAGATCACTTATTTTTCCATAGTGTCGTTGCTATGGAATGTTGGAACCAACTCTTTAGGAATTGGTCACCTGCATTTCATCATCCTCCATCTCTCACACCCTTAGAGATCTTCAAGAGAGTCTTTGATTCACCGTAGAGCTCTAGGGGTAGCCCTTACCTACGTATTTCCATAGCATACATGTTATGGGAGATATGGAAGGGACAAAATCTCTCTCGTTTTGTAGACCGGCCGATGCGTGCCTTAGAGATTATGAGGCACGTCACATAATGGCTGCGGAGTGCCCATCCTCTAATGTTGCCTATCGCGACATGCTCGGCCTTTATCTGTGAGGCACTCAAGACTTGGGGAATTCCAGCCTTATGGACCTATACACAGATCACTATGCGGACTGTCTATTAGAGACCACCGCCGATAGGACACCTGAAGCTCAATGTGGACAAGGCAGCACGTGAGAACCCTAAACCTACAGGGGGAGGAGGCATCTTACGAGACAATACAGGGAGTATTATCTTTGCCTTTTTCTCACTATTACGACGTTCAGACTAACACAACAGCGGAGGCTATGGCGATCTACGATGGTTTGCTCCTCTGTGAGGAATGCAACCTTCATGGTATTGTCCTAGAATCCAACTGTAGCGTGTTAGTTGAAATGTTGCATGTAGGTACTTGCTCCCATTGGCGACTCAGCATGCGTTGTCGTGAGAGGATCAGCGCCATCACACACCACCTACGCGAGGAGAATCAAATTGCAGGCACGCTTGCTACACATGCAGTATGCATCCGTCTAAGATCTATTTTCACCTCTTGGCAGGATATACATGTAGAAGCTCGAGGTAGACACCGCTTAGAACGACTCGACATACCAACACTACGCATTGGGCGAAAACTTCTACCTGCCACACCTAGGTAGTGGCATATCGCTTGGAGTAATTCAACGTCGACGTCAACACAAGATGAACAACAAGGCTCGCAATCTACCCAGTACACCACTTCCAATCATTACTCTCCTCATAATCACCTCACATTTACTATCTATCACCCTCAAACAGTGAGGACACAGAACTATCAACATATGCTAGCATCTGTCCATTTTTGAACTATAGGTTTATAGCACATTAGACCTGCCAAACTAGCTGTGAATCGCCAACCTAACACCTCTCTCAAGATCTCATTAGTACCATCAGTCAGGTTGAACCCATGAGAAGGTAAGGATCTATATCCATAGAATTTACCCTCTCTCCTCTCTCTCTCGATTCTCTATTTCTTTCTCCCTCTCTTTAAAAAAAAAAAAAAGAAAAAAAAAGAGGCAGCCTAGTTCTTTTCTCAGAATCACTAGCCCATCATAGGCAATTAGTGGAGGGTGAGGGAAAAGGCCCTCACAAAAAAAAAAAAAAAAAAGTAAAAGCAAAAGCAACCTACTTCCCTTCTAGTAATCACTAGCCTAATAGTACATCAAATCATGGGCATTAGTGGAGGGTGAAAGAAGAGGCCTTCAAAAAACACAAAAAAAAATATAAAAAAAAAAAGAGAGAGAGAGAATAAGAGAAAAGAAAAGAATTAAAAAAAGAGACCAAGTTATTCTTTGTGGGGTGAAAGGTCTCCTACCTACTTAGAAGAAGTACGGCAACTAATGATACTAGTAAGATCTTGGCCAGAGGGACTAGACATGTGCAACACTAGGAAGGTAAGTTCATATTTGGGTTTATTGTCATGCTCTAACATAGTTCTGTCCTCCTCACTACCCTAACTACTCTTTTCTCATTACTTTATATCATTTTATTTATTTCTTAAGACTACTTACTACAGCAAACTCTTGTCTTGTAAGAACACCTCATGACGCATAACACGGAGGTCTACATTTCCTATTACTGTTGAGTAGATCTTTCAACTTCATAAACTCAATGACTCTTCCAGCTCAATACAAATCAACCATCTTCTTCAAATATTACGAGTATAGTGGAATCTATTTCTACTATTGTCACATACTTTCTTCCAAAGAGGTCCATAATCCTCCATCTCATCCTCGCCCTTTGTGTGAATAAAATCCCACTTATGTAACCTTAGAATGAGGTGAAAACTTCTACCACTAAATCAATTTTTTTCATTTCAAAAAAAAAAAAAAAAGCCCTCAACCTTAAACCCTAAACCCCCACCCCCTCCCCCCGGCGCCCGTCATTTGCCCAACTTTTTTCTCTCTCCTCGTTGTAGCTTCTCTCTTCACCTTCAACTGACCTCCATCTCTCGTGTGACTTTCGATCGCACTGAAACTAGTTCCATCGGATTCGGAAGGCCAAAATCTATCAACTTCGAGCTATTAAGCGTCGAAAATAGTGGATTGAAGTCTTCGTTGTCCGGATTTCTTCATTGAGAGGTATTTTTCCGGACATTTCGTTCTAAAGGTAATATCTCTCTCGTTACTTGACCAAAGTTTAATATTTTTAAATCATTTGCATCGTATTTCTGTGCTCTATATTTTTCTCTTCTTCATCATCTTTATCTGATGCTTACTTGATGAGTAAATCAGAGATTTCATCGGCGGACTCATGTCCGCCGGATGAAAAAATAAGGGAAGCATGCGACCGAATAGGAAACCGCCACGTGTGGTGACTTGTCCGCGGCGATAAAACGGCATCCGAGGGGCCTATTGATGGCCCGAAAATCGGGGCAGTCAATGGGCGGAATGGCCGCATTAAAAACGGCAGTGATTTGCCGTTGGCGGACGTCCCCTCGGTTTCCGCAAACGTGGGGATGGCTCTTGGCGCCATTCCCTCGCTCTGCGGGAAAGGGGGGACAGGGCACGTGGCGCCGTCTCACGATCAACGGTGAGGATCGACGAGAGGAAAAGGCGGGAGATGTGGGGGCGGTGTCGGCTGACGTGGACTCGTCAGCTTTGGTCCTTGATCTGACCGTTGATCTTGCGATCAACGGACAGGAGGGAGCCAAGATAAAGTCGCCGCATTCTGCTGACGGTGTTACCTCGGTCCTCGTACACAGCGGAGGCTGACGCGGACTCGTCAGCTTCCGGAAAAAAGGCGTCAGGCGGCAGCCTTTCCTCGGAATCAGCTCTTCATCATCTGACCGTTGATCTTGAGATCAATCGGCAGGAGAGAGCCGAGATAAAGGCGCCGCATTCTGCTGACGCAGTTAGCTCGGTCGTGGCAGCCAACGCGCCCCCGCTAGCGGGGGACTGACGGGGGCGGCGCCACTATGGTGGCGGCGGCACTCGCTCAGGCAGCACCAACTAATGCTGCGAAACCCAAGGATGTCCGGACGCGGGCAGCGCCAGTTCATGTGCTGACCCAAGTACATATGTGGCCCACTACTGCAAAGGTAAGACCTACGTGGGCAGTGCCAATTCATATCCAAACTCAAGCCCAAATCATACTAGCCCAACCCACACAAACTCTTAATCTGTCAGCCCAGCCCACTCAAACCTCAGCCAAGACTTGGGCCCAGCGACTTATAGGAGCGCAGCTTACTCTTACAATTTAGAACACACATTGAGCTCTATTACTTCCTGTCTATACTACGGACCTCTTACTACGAGGTTACATTGAGGAAGAAGGAATGAGAATAGTCTTATTCTCAAAAGAGATCTCTCAATTAGTTGAAGCATTTCAGTTTGCATTGATTATAGGTTTTACCACAAAACATTCCCACTTAGATGACATCTAAAAAATATATTTGACCCCTAGACATTTTCAGCGCTCGTGATTACTAGAGTGTCTTCATTCGATTTGAGCTCGAGGCTAACTATCGGAAAGCCTTGAGCCAGACCATATGTGAGATTCAAAGTATTATTATGTACACTTATAAATGGACCCCATATATTGATGGCACCTTTCGAGGGAAACAATCTCACTCTACTCTAGTTTGGATAGGTTTTTCGAGCATGTCAGCACATCTATTCACGTCCACGGCACTTGAGTCCTTGGCAAATATAGTCGGAATATTTATACGCCTAGATCCAGACATTAAAATGTTCAATCGTCTAAGATATGCCTGCATATATGTAAAGGTAGACCTATTAGCCCCCCTAAACCTTAAACCACCCTCATTTGCTCAACTTTTTTCTCTCTCCTCACGATAGCTTCTCTCTCCTCACGATCAGCGCAAATGGTGAGATCTCCTTCATGTGACCTCAAATCGTGCTGAAACTTTTTTCATTTGATTCGGAAGGCCGAAAACTCCCGGTTTTGAGCTATTAAACATCAAAAATGGTGGATTAAAGCCTTTGTTTCGCAATTTCTTCATTGCAAAGGTAAACTTCTAGAGTTTTCACTCCAAAGGTAATATCTCTCTATGACTGGGTTAAGTTTTATTATTTTTAGCTCAATAGAATCATATTTGCTTCGTTTACCATTTTCTCTTGTATATAATTTTGATTTGATGCTTAGTTGATGAGTAGTTCAAAGATTTCATCGGGTGACCTCTGTCGCCTAGATGAAAACTCGCCCGACGAATGCGAGCGAATAGAAGGCCGACACGTGACAGTAACAGCTTATGTCCTTGCCTTCCCTCCCCGCCAGTTGATGTGATTGAGAAGATAGTTGAGCCCATCCCATCAGACGGTCATCATAACCCACCGGAAGAACCTCGAGACGGCCAAATGAGCTGGGCCATAAATGAGCTGAATGGTCGAACCACAGACGTTCGTGATTCGACATCAGCTTGCGTCTTCCAAGGCCCGAATCAGAGGGGACAGTAGTTGATGCCATCTACTCTACCTCCAAGAATGAGGCGACAGCGGGTGAAGAGGCTCCCTCTGATCCAACCATTGATTGTATGATCAATGGTCAGAATCAATCGGCTATAAAGGCCTCAATAGATGCTATCGCCTTTACCTCGATTACTATGCCCAAGGCACCGCCCTCGGACGGTGATGGGCACAATGGGTAAATTGATCCAATCGTTGATCTTGAGATCAACGGAGGGGATCACGTGGCCGTAAAGGTGCTGCAACCTTTTGTAGTCGTCGATGCCTCGGCTGTGACGCTACTGACGTCATCAACGTCAGACGCTGCGGACGTTGGCATCGCACGGAACCTTGCACCATCACGTGTCGAGTCCAACTCAACTGGCACCGTACAAGCGTGGCCCGTGCGAGCCTCCACCAAGGTGGCTAGGGCTGAGCTGGCCCAAGTAGCACTATCTGAGGCCGCTTTGGCCCAAGCCATGCCACCCCAGGCCAAACAGACCGAGAGTGAGCAGACCTTGGTCGAGCCGGCCCAGCCCATCGATACTGCGCCATTTCAGGACGCACCGGCCCAGGCATAGGTGGCCTAGGCTGAGCCTGAGCAGCTGGCTCAGGGTGCACCGGTCCAAGCTCTTGCCTAGGTAGGCCCAAACGTTGGGTCTACCCAAGCCAGCTCATTTGGGCTGACTAAGGGAGGCCCAAAGGAGCCTAAGCAGAATGGCCCAAAGGGGCCCGCTCATAGCACCCTTGGGCCTACCCAAGGCAACCCATTTGGGCTCACAAAGGGAAGCCCAAAGGGGCTTGAGCTAGGTGGCCCAAATGGGCCCACCCAAGGCACACTTGGGCCTACTCAAGGTATGCCACTTGCACCTACCAAGGGAGGCCCAAAGGAGCCTAAACTGGGTGGCCCAAAGGAGCTAAATGGGCCCGTCGAAGGAGGCCCAGATGGGCTCACCCAAGATAGTCTTGGACCAATCCATGGTGACCCCAATAGACTTATCTTGGAGAAGTCTAGGGGCAAGCGCCTACGGCCCAAAAAGAGGATAGGATACTGACTTTTATGCCCACCCTCAGCCATGTCCTCTGGGCCTGCCTAGAGTCAACAGCTTAGGCCGATTTTACCCCTACCTATAGGGCCCCCTAGGCTCTCTCAAATTGAGCCCCTCGAACCAGCTAGGATCACAACACTAATTGAGACCTCTGTACTGGCCCTGAACACATCCCTTGGGCACACCATATCCACACCCAGTGGGCTAGACACTATTGTGCCCCATAGGCCAAACCCGATTGTGCCCACTAGACACCTATCATGGGCGCAACGAGTGTCTGGACCCTCTGTCCCCTCCACAAAGATTGTCACGCCACAGGGACCGTTGTGTCATATACTATTCTCATACTATGATACTATTGTACTAGTGCGAGGCTATAGCGAGGATGACGGGATGAGGACTATAACTTTTACTCATGAGGAGGTCTCACAAATGGCAGCCACATTCTGACATACCTTGGTTGGTCATTTCACTATGAAACAACCAACCATAGATGACATAGAGAGGATTTACTTGGCACTTGGAAATTTCTAGGGCCGAGTCTCTATTGGAGCTAGAGACTATCGAAGTGTATACATCCGCTTTGAGCTAGAAGCGGACTATCACCGAGCATAGAGCCGACCCACTTGGACAATGGGAGAGTCTACCCTCCATACCCATAGATAGACACTGCAGACTGACATAGGGCACTGAGCACATCAGCCCCATGCGATTCCATTATGGGTGGGCTTCCCTGTCCTACTTGCCCATTTATTTACGCCAAAGGCACTTGAGTCTTTGGCAAATGCGGTGAGAACATTTATATGCCTTGACCTAGACATAAAAATGTTCAACCGGCTGAATACGCACGAGTTTGTATAGAGGTGGACCTAATGGCCCCTCTACAGAGGACACTCGTTATACGTTGTGGAGATGATGAGCTCTACTAGCCTATCATTTACGAGAGATTACTTTATTTCTGCACACATTGTGCTATCTTGGGTCACACTGTCAGCACCTACCACTAGAAGGCAGGTACACCACAGGTGACCACACGAGCTTTTTTAGTACCGATCTCATATGACGATTACCTCGTCGAAATGAGAAAGGATGCTCAGAGTTCTTGTCATCCTCAGAGGTCAATTGCCCCTACGGCAGCTCCACCTTCCCTACCTCAGAAGGCACAGGAGAAGCCTAGTTCAGTGATTGAGACACTACATGCACGGCGAAAGCTGGTAGTTGGACGCCCTTCTTCCACCCGCACAAGGAGGAAGAAAGGAACACGAGAGACTATACCTTCCCCTTTAGGCAAAGGGAAGAAACCTTCAACCTCAAACGCCTTCAAGGTCTTAGAGGATTTAGATGAGAGAGACTTTGAGGGACCTGCACAGAGGAGAACTAGGCCTTCCAAAGGGCTAGCATCCCCCACTACGAGAGACTCACCTAGTCAGACCTCACATACTAGATCCCCCCAGGCTATCCGACCCCCCATACCCACCCACCCCACTCCACCCATTAGTGTCTCTCCACCACCTAGCTCCTCCCCACTCATTTGCTCTCCCCCACGTAGTAGGAGTCCTTCACCTCTTAGTCCCCACCGACTGAGGTCTACCCCTTTCTCTGAGGGTATAGGCTTGGGCAATACCCATCCCCCTCAGATCCCCGTCGAGGATCTACTAGGAGGGCCTACCCCCAGCATACCTCCTACTAATACATCTTATGTAGCCCCCCTTTATGATTCTTATACCCTCCCCCCCTCTCCCCCACCACACCTGCCAGAACAAGTTCCTATACTTGATCCATCACCCACTGATTCTAGGGAGAGCCCAAATAGAGGACAGTGCTTGACGAATAGTCAACACTATACCCATCCTCCTCATCTAGTGTTCATGATACTAGTGGCCACATGACTAGTACCCATGAGGATGGCGGATTTGAGACTAACCTTGAGGCTACCTACCTAGAGGAGGGATATCAAACAAAGGCTAAGACCACACGACTCACTCGACGCTCACCTTACTCCACGAGATCTAAGACTCGTGGGGCCACTCATTAGATCATGATACCTAGCATCATATGGAATTGTCGGGGTATAGGTAACCTTGAAACCCAATTCTATATAGCTAGCCTTATCAGACAGTACCGACTAGGTATAGTAGGGCTCATTGAGCTCATGATATCATCAGATCGTATCCAACCCTTACTTAGGTAATTGGGTGTGGATCATTTTCACTCCAACCCCACGAATCATATCTGGCTCTTTTGGACTAGACCATACTCTATGGAGTTGCTAGTCGAGGGATCCCAACATATCACTATGACGGTTCGAGATCCCACCCAAGAGTTCACCTTCTTAGTCATTTATGTATCACATAGATCCGAAGAAAGGGAAACTCTTTGGGCGCACCTAGTTCAGTACATGAGGGACTATCATGCACTAGTTGAGTCTCCTTGGTACCTAGCGGGCAACTTCAACTGTGTTCTTAGTACTAGTGAACGTCAAGGTGGGCGGACCCCTAAGGCCCGCAACATGGAGACGTTCAATGACTGCATTTTTTGATTAGCTCTTATTGAGGCACCTACATCAGGCAAGTCAAAGTGGATATATTTTTCTGTCTCAAAGCAGATGTATACACTACGATAGTCTTGAGCTCTGATAGAGACTCAACCTTGGAAATTTCAAGGTGCCAAATAAATCCTCTCTATGTCATCTATGGTTGGTCGTTTCGTAGTGAAATGACCAACCAAGGTATGTCAGAATGCGGCTGCCATTTGTGAGACCTCCTCATGAGTAAAAGCTATAGTCCTCATCCCGTCATCCTCGCGATAGCCTCGCATTGGTACAGTGGTATCATAGTATGGGAATAGTATCTGACACAACGGTCCCTGTGGTGTGACAGTCTTTGTGGAGGGGACAGAGGGTCTAAACACTCGTTGCGCCCATGATAGCTATCTAGTGGGCACAATAGGGTTTGGCTTATGGGGCATAGTAGTGTCCAGCCCACTGGGTGTGGATATGGTGTGCCCAAGGGGTGTTCGGGGCCAGTACAGAGGTCTCAATCAGTGTTGGGATCCTAGCTGGTTCGAGGGGCTCAGTCTGAGAGAGCCTAGGGGGACCTATAAGTAGGGGTAAAATCGGCCCAAGCTGTTGACTCTAGGCAGGCCCAGAGGACATGGCCGAGGGTGGGCGTAAAGGTCGACGTCCTATCCTCTTTTTGGGCCGCAGGTGCTTGCCCCTAGACTTCTCCAAGATAAGTCTATTGGGGTCACCATGGATCGGTCCAAGACTATCTTGGGTGAGCCCATCTGGGCATCCTTTAGTGGGCCCATTTGGCTCCTTTGGGCCACCTAGTTCAGGCTCCTTTGGGCCTCCCTTGGTAGGCGCAAGTGGCATACCTTGAGTAGGCCCAAGTGTGCCTTGGGTGGGCACATTTGGGCCACCCAGCTTAGGCCCCTTTGGGCTTCCCTTAGTGAGCCCAAATGGGTTGCCTTGGGTAGGCCCAAGGGTGCTCTGGGCGGGCCCCTTTGGGCCACTCTGCTTAGGCCCCTTTGGGTCTCCCTCAGTCAGCCCAAATGAGCTGGCTTCGGTAGACCTAGGGTTTGGGCCTACTTGGGCAAGAGCTTGGATCGGTGCAGCTTGAGCCGGCTGCTCAGGCTCGGCCTGGGCCACCTGGGCCTGGGCCAATGCATCCTGAACTGGCGCAGCCTCGATGGGCTAGGCCAGCTTGACTAGGGTCTGCTCACTCTCGGTCTGTCTGGCCTGGGCTAGCATGGCTTGGGCCAGAGCGGCCTCAGATGGCGCTACTTGGGCCGGCTCAGCCCTAGCCACCTTGTCGGAGGCTCGCACAGGCCACGCCTGTACGGTGCCAGCTGAGCTAGGCTTGGCACGTGATGGTGCAGGGTTCCGCGTGATGCCAATGTCCGCGGTGTCTAACGTTGATGACGTCATTAGCGTCACAATCGAGGCATCGGCGACCGCAAAAGGTTGTGGCGCCTTTACGGCCACGTGATCCCCTCCGTTGATCTCAAGATCAATGGTTGGATCAATTTGGCCGTTGTGCCCGTCACTGTCCGAGGGCGGTGCCTCGGGCATAGTAACCGAGGTAAAGGTGATAGCGTCTGCTAAGCCCTTTATAGCCGGTTGATTCTGATCATTGATCATATGATCAATGGTTGGATCAGAGGGGGCCTCTTCGCCCGCCGTCGCCTCATTCCCAGAGGTAGAGTAGACGGCGTCACCTGTTGTCCCCTTTGATTCGGGCCTCGAAAGATGCCAGCTGATGTCGAATCACGAACGTCTGTGGTTCAACCATTCAGCTCATTTATGGCCCAGCTCATTTGGCCATCTCGAGGTTCCTCTAGTGGGTTATGATGATCGTCTGATGGGATGGGCTCAGCCATCTTCTCAATCACATCAACCGACAAGGAGGGAAGGCAAGGACATAAGCCGTTACTACCACGTGTCGGCCTTCTGTTCGCTCGCATTCGTCGGGCGAGTTTTCATCTGGGCGACGAAGGTCACCCGATGAAATCTTTGAGCTACTCATCAGTTAAGTATCAAATTAAAATTATATACAAGAGAAAATGGTAAACAAAGCAAATATGATTCTATTGAGCTAAAAATAATGAAACTTAATCCAGTCAATAGAGAGATATTACCTTTGGAGTGAAAACTCTAGAAGTTTACCTTTGCAATGAAGAAATTGCGAAACAAAGGCTTTAATCCACCATTTTTGATGTTTAATAGCTCAAAACCGATAGTTTTCGGCCTTCCGAATCAAATGAAAAAAGTTTCAGCACGATTTGAGGTCACATGAAGGAGATCTCGCCATTTGCGCTGATCGTGAGGAGAGAGAAAAAAGTTGAGCAAATGAGGGTGGTTTAGGGGGGCTAATAGGACTATCTCTACACATACGCGGGCATATCCTGAATGATTGAACATTTTAACGCCTAGATCTAGGCGTATAAATGTTCCGACTATATTTGTCAAGGACTCAAGTGCCTTGAGCATGAATAGATGTGTTGACAAGCTCGGAAAACCTATCCAAACTGGAGTAGAGTGAGGTTGTTTCCCTCGAAAAGTGTCGTCAAAAATATGAGGTCCATCTATGAGTGTACATAATAGCACTTTGAATCTCCCATGTGGTCCGGCTCTAGACTTTTCGATAGTCAACCTCAAGCTCAAATCGAATGAAGACACTCCAGTAATTACGAGCACCAATGGTTACATTTTTCTGAAAGTGTCCAGGGGTCAAATATATTTTTTGGATGTCATCTAAGTGGGGACGTTTTGTGGTAAAATGTCCAATCAATGTAAATTGAAATGCCTCAACTAAATGAGAGAACTATTTCGAGGAGAATGAGACTATTCTCATTCCTTCTTCCTCAATGTAACCTCGTGATAAGAGGTCCGTAGTGTAGACAGGAAGTAATGGAGCTTGATGTGTGTTCTGAATTGTAGGAGTAGGATGTGCTCCTATAAGTCGTTGGGCCCAAGTCTTGGCTGAGGTTTGAGTGGGCTGGGCCGACAGATTAGGTGTTTGTGTGGGCTGGGCTAGTATGACTGGGGCTTGAGTTTGGATATGGACTGGCGCTACCCGCGTAGGTCCTACCTTAGCAATAGCGGGCCGCACATGTACTTGGGTCCAGACATCCTTGGGTTTTGCGGCCTTGGTTGGTGCTGCCTCAGCTTGAGCGGGTGCCGCTGCCACCATAGTGGTGCCACCCCCATCAGTCTCCACTAGCGGGGGCGTGTTGGCTGCCAAGACCAAGGTAACGGCGTCAGCAAAATGTGGCGCCTTTATCTCGGCTCCCTCCTGCCCTTGATCTCAAGATCAACAGTCAGATGATTAAGAGCTGATTCCGAGGAAAGGCCGCCGCCTTACACCTTTTTTCCAAAAGCTGACGACTATGCGTTAGCCTCCATTGGGGGGGACACCATGGGTACAAGGACCGAGGTAACGACATGCTATTCACACATGTCGACAGTGGTATCAAGGTGCTCGGTGCATGATTATTGTGTAGAATGGGGATAAGAAAATCTACCAAACTATTATATATGAGAGATTACCTCACTTCTACACACATTGCATGGTTTTTGGACATTATTCACACATGTCGACAGAAAAATAATTTATCATTGTCGGGGTCTACTTCTCTTCACTTACCACCCCTCTCCTATGATGACTATATTATTGAGGTAGGAAAGACTACGTGTGGTTGTCGTCCTACACCGACCTCACATATTCCATCCCGACCATTATCATTCCAGGCTAGTACCCCACCAACAGGTTCTCACAAGACACCTCCAACTACTCTGGTGACACATTCCATCCCTCGAGTGTCCACTTCCACCCGTAAAGGGAGGAAGACAGTAGCACGAGTATCACCTCTTGTGTCAGTAGACATAGGAAAGATAGCCCAGACGTCGAATGCTTTCGATGCTCTGAGCACTTTGATTGAGGTTGATAGTGTTCCCATTATAGGGAAAGACAACAGTCCACGAGTTTGACGATGCTCCCCTAAATAGAAAATTACTATTATTACTACTTTACCCTCGACCAGCCTCTCTCCATCCACTAGACCTCCTAAACCTATTACTTCTATGACACCAACTAGCTCCACTTTACCCATTACACCCGCTCTAGTCACCTGTCCTCCATCACCTATTCACAATCCACTACTTAGCATCGCACCCTCCCACACCACACCTTGTACATCCTCTCAGCCCCCTACATCACCTGATGCGGTCCTTGATATGACCCCAACAGGCACCTCCCCATTAGCCCCCTCATGCCTTTCTCTTTCTGACCCTCCTTCTCTTCCACCCCACCCTCCGGATCCTCCTTTGACCACACCTCTAGAGACCTTGATAGAGAGCGATCCTAGACAGGGCTTGGAGATTGATGACACTTCAGCGAGCCCTAGTAGGGGAGAATGCTTGACAAATCGTCGAGTCATCTCCCTATCATCCTCAGGGGCAGATACTAGTGGATACTATACATCGAGTGCTGAGGACTCTAGATCTGAGACATCATCTAACTATCCTACTAAAGGCTTCGACCTTAAGAGAGAGTACCAGACAGAGGCAATCGATAGAGCCTCAGGACAACGTTCTCCCTACATCATGAGGTCTAGGGCTCGTGGCAGTAGATAGTGTACATGATACCCAGCCTTGTTTGAAACTGTCGAGGGTTGGGCAACCTCGAAACACAATCTCACATTATTGAACTCATCAATAAGTGCCGACTATGCCTAGTCAGGCTTATTGAACCAATGATTCCATCAGATCATATTTATCCATTACTTAGACGCTTAGGTATGGATCACTTCCACTCTAACTCTACAAATCACAAATCACCGTGAGACTCTTTGAGAAGACCTAGTACGATATACACAGGATTATCCTATACTAGTTGATTATCTTTGGTTTATAGTTGGAGATTTCAACTGCATATGTAGAGTCATTGAACATCAAGGAGGGTGGGTCCCTCGAGCCCGTCATATGGAGATGTTCAATGATTTTATTTTTCGCACGGCCCTCATCGAGCCTCCTACTTTTGGCGAGGTTCGGACATGGTGCAATGAGAGACAAGGAGGCACAAGGATATATGAGCGCATCGATCGTTGCTTCACTAATAACATTACATTAATGTAATGTCCCATATTAGTCACACTCTTACTCCGCTATAGGTCAGATCACACACCAATTCTTATTCTCCCTAACTCGAGAGCTAGTTCCCCTAGACCTCTTTTTAGGTTTCAAAATATGTGGACTCAGCACGAAAGCTTCTAAAGCTTCGTGCGTAGGCATTGGCACAGAAATATCTCTAACTCTCCTATGGAGAACCTCAGTTACAAACTAAGGAATCTCAAACTCCACCTTAAATGATGGAACTGGCATGTATATGGAAACATACACACCCAAGTGGAAGATTTGAAGAAGGAACTAGTAGAGGTCGAGAGGCAACTGCAAGTTCAATAGAGTGACACTACTTGGGAGAGACGAGTTCGAGTGAATGAGTAATTAATAGAGGCCGCGCGACGACAGGAGATATACTATCTCCAAAAATCACGCATCTAATGGTTGTGTGAGAGTGATAGGAACACACATTTCTTTCATGCCTCGATCACACATCAATCTCGATCTGATTATACATCTCTTCTAGAGGTGTATGATCATGACACATCCTGTATGCAAGAGGTAGGAATTGTGTACCCTCCTTTCCTCTTAGCCAATTGAAATCTCTGAGGATATCCTCTCATCGATTCCATCTTTAGTCACCCACCAGGAGATAGAGGACATTATGACCATACCTACTAGAGAAGTGATCCGAGATGTAGTCTTCTCGATGAGCAGAAACCGAGCACTTGGACCCGATGGTTTTCCAGTTCATTTTTATACATCATGTTGGGACATCGTTGGAACAGATATAGTAAATGCCGTCAAGGAATTCTTCCGTCGCAAAGTCTTTCCACGGAGTTGGAAAGCCACCTTTATTACCCTCATCTCAAAGGTGACCAACCCAACGTCTTTTAGTGACTTTCGCCCCATCAGTCTTTGTAATGTATGTTATAAGGTTGTATCTAAGATCATTACAGCATGATTGAAGACTTTCTTTAATTGGCTCATCTCTAGAGCAATGCGGATTTGTTAAGGGACGTCACATTCACGATAACATCATGTTAGTTCATGAACTAACACAGTCCCTTGATCAAGACATTCGTGGTTCTAATGTTATCATCAAACTAGATATGGAAAAAGCTTTTCATAGAATCGAGTGGAAATTCCTCACTGAAATACTTCGACGCTTCGGATTCACCGACAAGTTCATCGACTTAGTTGATGCATGTGTTAGGGAGAATCACTTCTCCCTACTGGTGAATGGCACTTCCACCCCTTTCTTCACTGTCACACGAGGTTTACAGCAGGGTGATTCATTATCACCCACTCTCTTCATATTAGTTGAAGAAGTCCTTAGTAGAACCCTCTCTCGAGCAGTATCACGTGGACTTATTCAATCATATCATTCAAAGCGGGGTTGCCTGATCATATCGCATTCCTTGTTTGCTGATGACACTATACTCTTCCTTAATGGATGTGAGGCATCTATTAAGGGACTCATAACTATTATCTCGAGTTACGAGCGGGCCACAGGTCAACTCGTTAATGTATTGAAGAACAGTTTTATGGTGGCATCTTCTACCACCATTAGTATCATATGCCGTATACAAGATATAACAAGATTCTCATGTGGACGTTTACCTTTTGATTATCTTGGATGTCTTATCTTCCTTGGACACACTCGGATTCATTATTTTGATGCCCTTCTGTGCAAGTTGAGGAAGAAACTTGCCGGATGAAAACTTCAACTTCTATCCCCAAGAGGTCGCATCCAATTGATACGCTATGTCCTCATAAGTATGTCATTACATCTACTAGCAGTACATGAGGTATTGGATACCGTCCTACGATCTGTGAGGCGGATATGTACCTCTTTTTTGTGGGATGACCAACTTGACGGACCTCATCGCCAACGACGAGTTTCTTAGGAGAAAGCATGTCGACCGACGGAGGAGGGTGGACTAGGGATTAGACGTCTTGAAGACATATTCGACATACTTTAGAAGAAACTTGTATGGCGGATGAGGACGACGAGATCAATCTTAGGGACCTTTGTGTCTGCCAAATATGGCGAGTGGGCTAACCAACCGGCAGACATAAAAGGATGGAAGCAGTGGGCAGATTGGCAGAGACATTGGCTTCAGATGAAGCCTTTAATCCGGTGGTGCGTGAGACAAGGCACTATCAGTACTTGGTATGACACTTGGCTTGTGGATACCCCTTTGGCCTCCTTTTTCTGCTTCACGCTATCTTGGCCCCCACTCACAGTGGCCCAATTTCTCAAGGGAGATACTAAACTGCTCATTGAGCTGCATGGACTCTCCCTAGATTTATTACCAGAGATCTCATTGATAGAGCTAAGCCCTAGGGATGATGAGGCCATTTGGACTCTCACCTTTGATGGGAGTTTCTCTTATAGTTCTTCTTGGAACTATTTTAGAAACCAATCCCTAAAATAGGTTTGGGAAATCTTATTTGACATCATGCTATCATACCTCGAGTCTCTTTCTTCATGTGGAAACTAATGCACCGAGGACTCCCTACTGATGACCGTATGGCCATCACTAGACTCCACATATGTTCTGTGTCATTGTTGCCACACCACTCTAAGAAACGAAACTATAGATCACTTATTTTTCCATAGTGTCATTACTATGGAATGTTGGAACCAACTCTTAAGGAATTGGTCACCTGCATTTCATCATCCTCCATCTCTCACACCCCTAGAGATCTTCAAGAGAGTCTTTGATTCACCGCAGAGCTCTAGGGGTAGCCCCTACCTACGTATTTCCATAGCGTACATGTTATGGGAGATATGGAAGGGGCGAAATCTCTCTCGTTTTGGAGGACGGCCGATGCGTGCCTTAGAGATTATGAGGCACGTCACACAATGGCTGTGGAGTGCCCATCCTCTAATGTCGCCTGTCGCAACACGCTCGGCCTCTGTCTGTGAGACACTCAAGACTTGGGGAATTCCAACCTTACAGACCTATACACATATCACTATGCGAACCATCTATTGGAGACCACCACCGATAGGACACCTGAAGCTCAATGTGGACGGGGCAGCACGTGGGAACCATGGACCTACAAGGGGAGGAGGTATCTTACGAAACCATACATGGAGTATTATCTTTGCCTTTTCCCACTATTATGATGTTCAGACTAACACAGCAGTGGAGGCTATGGCGATTCACGATGGTTTGCTCCTCTGTGAGGAACACAAACTTCATGGTATCGTCCTAGAATCCGACTCTAGAGTGTTAGTTGAAATGTTGCGTGCAGGTACTTGCTCCCATTGGCAACTCAAGAGCACTTGGATGGATATCATGCGTTGTCGTGTGAGGATCAGCACCATCACACACCAGCTACGCAAGGGGAATCAGACTGCAGATGTGCTTGCTACACATGCAGTATGCACCCGTCTAAGATCTGTTTTCACCTCTTTGCAGGATATGCCTGTAGAAGCTCGAGGTAGACACCGCTTAGAGTGACTTGGCATATCAGCACTACGCATTAGGCGGAAGCTTCTACCTGCCACACCTAGGCAGTGGCATATCGCTTGGAGCAATTCAACGTCGACGTCAACACAAGATGGACGACAAGGCACATCGCAATCCACCTGGGTACACCACTTCCAATCATTACTCTCCTAATAATCACCTCACATCTACTATCTATCACCCTCAAGCAATGAGGACACACAGAACTATCAGCACATGTTGGCATCTGCCCACTTTTGAATTATAGGTTTATAGCACATTAGACCTACCAAACTAGCTATAAATCGTCAACCTAGCACCTCTCTCAAGATCTCATTAGTACCATCAGCCAGCTTGAACCCATGAGAAGGTAAGGATCTATATCCATAGGATTGACCCTCTCTCCTCTCTCTCTCGATCGATTCTCTATTTCTTTCTCCCTCTCTCTCTCTCTCGTCAAAAAAAAAAAAAAAGAGGCAGCCTACTTCTTTTCCCAAAATCATTAGCCCATCATAACCAATTAGTGGAGGGTGAGGGAAAAGGCCCTCACAAACAAAAAAAAAGGGGGCAACCTACTTCCCTTCCCATAATCACTAGCCTACTACTCCAAAGGGAATTACCCTTGTACTCCAAATCATGGGCATTAGTGGAGGATGAAAGAAGAGGCCCTCAAAAAAAAAAAAAAGAGAGGCAGCCTACTTTCTTTCTCAGAATCACTAGCCCAGTACTCAAAAAGGAATTAACCTTGTTCACAAAATCATGGGCAATTAGTAGAGGGTGAGAGAAGAGGCCCTTAAAAAAATTAAAAAAAAAGAGAGAGAGAATAAGAGAAAAGAAGAGAGTTAGAAAGAGAGAGCAAGTCATTCCTCGTGGGGTGAAAGGTCCCCTATTTAGTTAGAGGAAGTATGGCAACTAATGGTACTAGCAAGATCTTGGCAAGAAGGACTAGATGCGTGCAACATTAGGAAGGCAAGTTCATATTTGGGCTTATTGCCATGCTCTAGCATAGTTCTGTCCTCCTTAGTGCCCCAACAACTCTTTCCTCATCACTTCATATCATTTTATCTATTTCTTAGAACCATTTACTGCAGCAAATTGTTATCTTGTAGGAACACCTCATGGCGCACAACACAGAGGGCTATACTCCCTACTACTATTGAGCGGATCTTTCAACGTCATAGATTAAATGGCTCCACCAGCCTAATCCAAATCATCCACCTTCTTCAAACATTTTGAGCGGAGTGAAGTCTCTCTCCACTATTGTCACATCCTCCCTTCAAAAGAAGCCTATAATCCTCCATCTCCTCCTCGCCCTTTGAGTGAATGAGATCCCACTCATGTAACCTCAAAATGAGGTGAAACTTCTAGCATTAAATCAAATTTTCCTTTGAAAAAAAAAACCTTAAACCTTAAACCCCTAAACCCTAGGAAGACAACTAATGCTCCACCAACTAATAGTACTAGCAAGATCTTGGCAAGAGGGACTGGATGCGTGCAACACTAGGAAAACAAGTTCATATTTGGGTTTATTGCCATGCTCCAACATAGTTTCATCTTCCTCAGTGCCCAGTAACTCTTTCTTCACCACTTCATATCATTTTATCTATTTCTTAGAACCACTTATTACAGCAAACTCTTGTCTTGGAGGAACACCTCATGGTACACAACATGGAGGGCTATTCTTCCCACTACTGTTGTGTGGATCTTTCAACGTCATGGACTGAATGGCTCCACCAGCCTAATCCAAATCATCCACCTTCCTCAAACATTTTCAGTGGAATGAAGTCTCTCTCTACTATTGTCACATCTTCCCTTCAAAAGAGGTTTATAGTCCTCCATCTCCTCCTCACTCTTTGTGCGAATGAGATCCCACTCACGTAACCTTAGAATGAGGTGACACTTCTAGTATTAAATCAAAATCTTCTTTCTTCAAAAAAAAAAAACCCCTAAACCCTAAGTAGTTTTGGGGAGATCTCATTTGGCACTCTACTATCATACCTCGAGTCTCTTTCTTTATATGGAAACTAATACATCACAGACGTTCTACTGATGATTGTATGTCCACCACAAGACATAATATATGTTCTAAGTGTCATTATTACTCCATCATTATGAGTACTGAAATTGTGGGCCACTTATTTTTCTATAGTGTCGATTCTATGGAATGTTGGTTAGTGAATTAGTCCTCAATATTTCATCTTTCTCCATCTCTTACACCTTGAGATTTTCAGGAGAGTCTTTGATTTAATGTAGATCTTTAAGGGCAGCCCTGACGTACCTATTTTCATAGTATACATGTTATGAGAGATATGAAAGGGGCGAAGTTTTTCTCATTTTGTAAGTCAACCGATGCACTCCCCAAAGATCATGAAACACATCATAGAATATCTGTGCAGTACCCACCCTTTGTTGTTGCCCGTACCCACATACTTGGCCTCCATCTGTGAGACCCTAGGGAGTTCAAGCCACGTGTACGTGCACAGAGATCTCCATTCGGGTCGTTCGATGGAGATTGTCGTTGATTAGACGCTTGAAGTTGAACATCGATGGAGTAGCCTGAGAAAACCCTAGACCTACAAGAGGAGCAGACATCTTATGAGATTATACGGGGAGTATTCTCTTTGCCTTCTCTTATTTTTATGACATTCAGACTAACATTGCAGTAGAGGGTATGGCAATATGTGATGGTTTGCTCCTCTACAAGGAATGTAATCTCCATGATATTGTTGTAGAATCTGACTCACAAATGTTTGTTCAAATACTACAAGTAGATTAATGTTCCCACTGGTGGCTCAAGAGTACTTGGATATACATCATGCATTGCAAAGGTAAGATCAGTGCTATTACACATTAACTACGTGAAGGGAGCCAGATAGCAGATGCACCTGCTACTCATGTTGTATGCGCCCGTTTGTGCTCTGTATTCTCCTCTTGGCAAGAGATACCAGCCAAAGCTCGAGGTCGACATCGCTTCTAGCAAATCAACATGTCAACACTATGTATATGACGAACATTTATACCTGTCGTCCCTTGATAGTGGCGGATTGCCTGGGGCAACCCCCAACCAGCGCATGACATGGTGTGCGATGCATCACCAACAAGAAGATGTCCCCGCACTATGGATGAAAAGAGTTTCCAACATCTTAGGCCAAGATGATCAACATCAGTCTTGTCTGCCACTTCACGTTCCATTTACAACTTTCTGCAGAAAGGTGTCTCTCATCCCCCCCAATTCTCGCATGAGGCTCAAGGATAAACACTTCATCAAAATGAATAGTATCTATACACTTCATCAAAAAAAAACTCCATCATAAATAGTATTAACTCATGATAAAAAGACGTTAAATTATGAAAAGTAGTTTTTATTTAGTTAATGTGATTTTTTTGTTAATTATGTGATTTTATGTAAATTTATATAATTTTTATAATTCTATTTTATAGATAAATGAAGAAAAATAAAATAAAATAAAAAGATAGAAAATGAGGGGACCCACCAGCCAAGTGGGCTCACAAGCAAGCTAGAGGTATAGTCAAGCAGAGCTACAAGTAGGGGCTCGAGTAGCTAAGGATAGACTTATAGAGGGCACATGTGCATCATTCTCTTTCCACGTCACCAATTGCCAACTAGGCATATGGCATGGAGTGGTCATACACACATGAGAAAAAGACTCATTGATTCGAAAATCTCGTATTACTATATATTCGTCTCAAAATTTGGAAAATAATCAATATGGGACTAAACCCCTGTCACACCTTCTCTGAAATATTTTAATAATTTGTGTACCTCAAATATTCTTCATTTATTAGGAGGCACCCTAATGATGTCACTTTATAAGAGTATTTTCATACTTATTTTACTCTCTCTCATACAAGCAAGCGATTTAGGATGGTTTGAATCCTACCAAAACCAAAACTCATCTTTTTTATCTGATTAAATTATGATTTTTTTGCAGATCAATGCCGAAAGATTAAGTTGCTAGAATTGCTCAATCATCGGTGAAAATCTCATCAACGCGATTCGCGAAACATCATTATTAAAATTACTAAATCATTCACGATAAAAAGATCATAAATCTATCGAGTAAATCATCTCTAATTGATTGACGAACAAGCTGTCGTCGAGAAGAGGTCAATCTACTGAGAGACGAGTCACTACCTCTTGAGAGCATACTAGATATGAGGAAGAGCTTCCTCTTGCTATGCGAACTTGAGGATGAAGCTCCCTAAGATGTGTCTCACTTCCATCCAACTTATTTTCATTAGGTGACAACTGTTGGAGAGCCACAAAGTCATTGTTTTTTCGTTCCGCTAAGTAGTCACTGAAAATGATTTGACAACCCATTTTATTGATCTCTAGACTTTACAAGAAAATCTACAGATTACTCACGTCATCTTTGTCCAAGGAAAGCCTTTGCGGCCATGGACACTACACAACAATCATTTCAAACACTCAGGATTTTGACACATTATCGTTGTGATGCCGAAACTATAATTTACCTTTTTTTAATTACTTTAACTTTTATCATCATTTTTTGGACTTTGAAAAGAGATCCAGAGAATGTCCAAGTCATTCATATCCAAAGGGAGCTTTTGAGGCCATAGACATCGTTTGATGATCCTCCTAAACACATAATTATGTCGATCACTGTCATGAGGTCGGAACTCTATCTTTCTTACTTTTATCTTAATTTTTCATTCATTTAGTGATAATTTATGTGATGTCAAGTTTCTAAACTATTCTTTATTCAATTACGATTCTTCTCACTTTTACAGATCTTAATTTCATCAATTAAATTGTCTGTAATCGCTTACATAATAATCACAAAGTAAAACTCTGAATTCATCCGATTCATGTTCATCAGACATTGATGTCATCTTGATGTCCGCACCCTTATTTTTCCCATAAATTTTAAATATATTTCATTTTTATTTTCTTAGTCCAAAATTCTTTAAAAACTCATATTTTTTACAGAATATTCTGAAATATAATCTTATATTATATCATTCATGTGATCGATCTGAAAAAAAATTACTATTTTTAAAACTTTTATTAAATTATAATTTATGTATTTATTCATAAATACTTCTAAATACCTAAAAAGTAGTATTTTTCTAATTTTATAAATTTTAAATTTATGTGACTTATTATACAACGACTAAGTCACATTAGGCCCACTCCTAGATATACCAACCTTTGTTGTCTCTAGGCATGTGTGTTCTTTGTGTCCCTCAAGCTTTTCATGAAAACTACATGCCTTAGGGAAGGGTCCTTCTTCAATCCCAATGCATGATTTCATCAATAAAAATCCAAATCGTATTGAATACTGCCCCAAATGAAATGCCTCCTCACAAACCTAGAACCCCTACGTACATGTAGCTTGTGTGTACCTCACCCCTCTCCTCTATGCATTTGACAAATGACGTGCAAGGCTTCAAACAACCATATCCATCAATCCGGCTGTCTATCTTGACCTCCTCCCTCCTTCTCCATCATATTCTGGCCTATCAATCCACTCTCTGGCCACCCAAAGGGCAGTCCTTGTTGCCCTCATATAGTGCTGCTGGAATCACTTGAGCCCAAGGAGAGAGAAAGTTTTGGCATGAATTGGTTTAGGGTTTAGGGCTTTTTAATTTTTTTCTCCCTTTAGGGGTAATCTGGCCTAGCCCCTTCCCAAACAGTCACCCACTATAGTATTACTCTAGCCCCTTCCTAGTAGAGGAACCCAACCTAATACTACTCTTAACTTTAAGGACATTTTCACCTTTTGGGGTATGGGAGATGGGTACATAGGCCTAGCCCCATCCTAGGATGAATCCAAATATCATTCTAGCCTAGGTGTGTCCGAAAAGTGTTTGGCTGGGGTCAATGGCAGGAGAAGGATTCCTCAAAAATAGGTCATATTACTTGTTAGAGGAGGGACTCTTTTTCTTTTAATGATTGATGTATAAGTATATCAGGGAATCGCCTTAGTAGGGGGGCAATATTGTTAATGGTTTTTCATTTTTTCTGCATGCTGCTCTTGAAGGAACTTCCTAGGAGGTCACTCATCTTGCCACTGCTCCTACCTGAGCACACTTAACCCTGAAGTTCTTATGAGATCTAGTGGCAACACTCCCAATTAAGGGGTTTAAGGTTTTGGATTTTTTTTTCTTTTTTTTTTCTTTTGTTGGGTCTTTGTACTTTTGGTTGAACTTGGTCCCTTATTTGGTACTTCACACACCTAAGTATATTGTGCTGACATCACACTTTGGTACTTCGCAAGGGGTGCCTAGTGACACTTTGGTTCAAAACTTGTGGTTCACAACACTTGATTCATAGTGAGTGTCTTGGGGAACTTGGTTTAGAGCTGGTCCCTTGCAGCACTTTGGTTTAAGGTTATTGCTTTGCAGCACTTGGTTCGGAGCGGGGTGCCTCATGATTCGAGCTGGTGTGGTGCCTCATAGCACATTGACATCACTTGATTCATGGCACATTGGTGTGAGTTGGGTGCCTCATGATATGAGCTGGTGTGGTGCTTCACGGCATGCTGGCGTCACTTGATTCAAGGTGGACTTCATGGCACATTGGTTAGAGTTGAGTGCCTCGTGATATGAGTTGGTATGATGCCTTTGTACTTTAGCTGAACTTCTCGAAGGTCCCTTTCTAGTACTTCACACACCTCAGTACACCAGCCTGATATCATATCACATGGGGTGCATAGTGGCACTTTGGTTCAAAGCTTGTGCCTCACGACACTTGATTCATAGCGGGAGCCTCAGGACACTAGGTTCAAAGCTGGTGCCTCGTGACACTCTGGTTTGAGGTGGTTATTTCACAGCACTTGGTTCAAAGTGAGGTGGCTCATGATTTGAGCTGGTGTGATGCCTCATGGCATGTTGACATCACTTGATTGGGGTGAGCTTTGTGCCATGTTGGTGTGAGTTTGGTACCTCTTGTTATGAGTTGGTGTAGTGCCTCACGGGACATTGGCGTCACTTGATTCGGGGTAGACTTTG